GTCAGCACTGCAACAAGCACAGTGCGCCCGACTGCTGTTTGCTCTGATGGGACAGTCATCATCAACATCATTATTCGTTGGATCCGCCGGAGGTACGACTCACCGTATCGCGGCTTTGCGCCAGGAGGGCCTTACTCGTATTTGGTGACCCACGCGCCTCCAACCTCCCCCGCGGACTCCCCCCCCCCCACCACCTTTGTCCACGCGGAACCCCCACCGAAACAACCCCCCCGCCCTCCACAGCTCTCAGGGCGCCCAACGCCGTGCCGAGACACCTGATCGGATCCGCCCAAGTCGGCGCGATTCGATGGATTCCGCCGCCGACGGCGAGCCCACCAGCCAGGGCGAGATCGTGCGGCGGTTCGCGGCGATGCGCGAGGAGGTGAACGCGATCTGGGGCAAGATGACGGAGCTGAGCAGCGAGAGCAGCGAGCACGACCAGGTGATCCGGGCGCTGGAACCCATGGCGGCGGATCGGAAGTGCTTCAGGCTGATGGGCGACGTGCTGGTGGAGCGCACGGTGGGGGAGGTGCTGCCCGCTGTGAAGAAGAACCACGACGGCATTCAGCAGGTGGGCATTTAGGAGACGGTGATCAACTTGGCAGTGAATCAGGATCGAAGGGGTGCTCTTTGTAGCTGTGGAGGGAGAGGGAGGGATGTGTTACAGCGAGAGGGAGAAGCAGGTCATGCAAAGGGCGCGCCCCCTGCTGGGCAGAATGTGTCGGAGGTTCCTTTCCACGCTATGAACAGGCGATGTGGAGTGTCCGATGCGGAGTGATGGGCGCACAACGCGTGGAGGAAGGGGTGTGTGGGGCAAGCGGTTGCCATTTAAAGAGATCGTACGAAGGGTGGCACCCCCTTGGCAAAGTTGGCGAGGCTCTTTTCCGCATGGCGAAAAGATGATTTAGGGTCTCGCAGGCCGGGATGATTGGGGCGCAGCACAAGCAGCGCAACAGGGGGGCTGGGTAGGGAGGATGATGTCTCTGGCGCACGAGGCAGTGGGTGGCTGGGGTGAATCCGGCGGCGTTGTGGATCGGGGAGGGGCTTGAGGGGATGAGAGGGGATGGGAGGGGCGGGGTGGGCGGGGCCGGTTGGCTGAGCGGCCTTTTTTTGGCTTTCTTTTTGGTGCCGGAGTGGAAACGGAGGGGGTGATCTGGTGTGGGGAATGGCGCGAGGGAGGCTGAAGGGGATTGTCGCAGCGAGGCGGGAGGGAGAGGGGAGAGGAAGGGGGGCTGGGAGCCATCCCGGGTGCACCGGAGGGTTTGCAGCCGCGTGGGGCTGCTGGCACGGGCGGGGATGCGGGGGTTCACGTACTTGATTGTGCACATGGCGGCATGTGCTACGGCGAATTGGCCCGCCGCAGAAGCGTCAAGCGCGTCTCGCGGTTCCTGACGGTGATCAGTGCTTCGGCGAGATTCGAAGCGTCGCTGAATATGTTGGCGACGCAAGGTACCCTATCTTGTCGGGCGCGTGGACGACTATTTTTGGTCTCGGATGGGGGTTTCCGGCACCCCAGGCGGGCGGCATGCGGAGCTTCGGGGATGCGTGACGGCAGCGTGACATGCGTCTCGCGCATTCGCGCAGGTTCTTCGGAGCTTGGCACAGCAGCTGGAGACCAAGCGGAAGGCGCTGACGGAGTTCCAGACCAAATACAAGATCAGAGTCAAGGTGAGATTTTCTGGTTGTAGAACTTTTTGGTTTGGCTGCGTGCTCCGAAAGCCCGGGTTCCTTCGGTAGAACGTTTTCAAAAACCTCCCCGCCCGCCCACGCACCCAACTGCTGTGGAGCCCATGGAACAGGATAAAGCCTCGCTCGCCGATTGGGGTGCCTGGACCTCTGCTGGAGTGCCTCTGCTGCCTCATATTCACAACAAGGCAGTTCTGCTCATGGGGAGACTTGATGCATTTTAACACATCTCCGCTTGTCAATGTGAGGAGAATTGATGAATGTAGCAGGACAGCATACAATAGGGACACAAATAGAAATTCGACTCCGTTTCATGCAGCAAAGGTGATGCAGAAATCCTCTTAAACAGGGTGCACACACAACGTACCTTGCTTTGCTCACTGTTTTCGATTTTGTCTTTTTTTATCCGATTCTTTGATCTTGTCCGATTTTTCTCTCGAGGCCCACAGTTACAGAGGAATGAAGAGTCAGTGGACAAAAACTGCCTTATAAGGAAATGATGGAAGGCACAAGAGCGGAACTGCCCCCACTTGCCAGTAGCAATTTGAGCACATTTGACTGCAAGGAGGATTGCACCAGCACAGATTCAGAGATTCGGTTGTTCAATGTGTAGCTTTCTTTGGGCTCCTCCATGCACCATTGCACTCCCCTTGGTGGCCATGGCCCTCCCAGAGGTGCCCATGCACAATTGCAAACCGATTTCAAGGCCCCTGTTGTTATTTTAGTCTTTCAATTGACATGGACCATCAGCACCAGGCGCTGTTGTGTTTCTATCAGTAGCTCTCCAGTGTTTATCTAGCAGTAGCTCTCCAAGGGTCTACAGCCTCAAATCCAACCTTGAAAGGGTGACAGTTACAAACAACATAAGCCACATGATCGTTCTATTGAGTGCATTGGACCTGAAGGTACAAGTGCCGCCATCTGTTATGGGGATTGCGGTACAGGCAGGATTTCACATGTGGTGCTTTGGTCGTTCTGTCCTGACAACTTATGAGAAGCTCACGGATCTGGCTGGAGAGCTTCCAAACTTGGCCATATGGAAGAGAAAGAAAAGGAAGTCCAATCACACAGTTCGAGTCTGAGCTGTGCACTGCTCGCCAGTCAAAGCGCAAAGGGCACATCTTCTGACATTTTGCCATCCCATGTGTGTGGTTGTATGGCATTCAGTGCAGATGACTTGTTTTTGAGGGTCAGGCATAGCCATAAGTGCCCTGCCCTGGGCTGTTGTCAGATGGGTAGTGTTCGATTGGTGGAACATGGCTGGCATGGCAAACAGTACTTCCGATAGTAACTTCCTGTAGCTGTTCTGTCCTATCTGTCCTATCTGTCTTCTGTGCCATGTGCTTCCTAGGTTCAGGAATGCTAGACAACAGCTGTTGGTAATAAAGGAAGCGCAGCTCTACACACAGTGCATCAAGCGTCGAACCTGCTAATTCTCCTTTTAATGCCCTCATTTTGCACTGATTAAATGGTTAACTAATCCACATATTTCCTGCACATTCTCCTGTAAAAATGGGTACAAACATGAGACATTGTCACAGTCGCAGTGCTCACCATTGATACGCAGTTGTTGGCATTTTCACGTGGATGGAAGTTGAGGAGTGTCGACAGTTGTTCTGCCAGATTTTTGTCACCAGTGCAGTGAAGAGGAGTTGTGCCGCTCAGGGCGAAGACTTTGAGGAAGAGCAGGAGGGAGACAAGGGCAGTGGGGCCACCAGCCAGGGTGTGCTAGTGTCTTCCAGCTGAGAGTGAGACCACCTGGTGGGCTCAAGCTCACGCTTCTGCCAGTGGCCCAGCGAGTGTTCACATAGTCCACAGCCCAACAGACGTTTTGAGAGTGCAGTGGCGCACGAAGGTTGAGGTATCTCCAGCATGCCTGGGGTTTCAAGAATGCTGCGCTCAGTGAGAATAAGCAAAGCCAGATTCTAATTGTTGGGCATAGCGATGTGCTGAGACCTTCAGGGTTACACCCATGCCCTGAGTATGGGAACAGCGGTGTGTGCTTGTGTTGCCCTGTTATGAGAAGGTGGGTGACTGCAGTGTCCCCATGTGGGTAATGTTGGGCACACAGGCTGGGCAAGTGCGGATGGAAAGGCTCTGTTGGCTGACGCCTTTGGGTGTCGTTTGGATCCCTGGTTATGTGTATGTGGTTGTTTCTGTCGATGTACACTACATTGCGGCCGCCTGGTGTATGCTGCATACCTGGAACTGCATTCTGGCGCCAAATTTGAAATAAGGCCGAAATTCTGGCGTCAAAAACTGCACCTGTCGGGAGGGGACAGACTGGACGTTTTGGAAGTGTATCTTGCTTGAACGAACGAGTTGTTGGAACAGATGACGATGCCTGGGCTCCTACGAGTGTGTGGTCACCATGCCGCCATGGCAGCATGGGTGCTTTTGTGTGCCATTTTGTGCCTGCATGTGTCATCATCCTCAAGTCGCCATTGTAGGCGTGGCTTGTTCTTTGAGGACTGCAGACGTCTTTTGTGCTTGGTGTGAAAGGTGTAAATGAATAAGTGAGATCGCTCTTGCCTGTGCTTGCGGCTGGGTCCTGCTTGTGCTGGGATTCTTTTGTTGAAGTTTGTCAAAAGCTGCGAATGAGTCCTAGGAACCCAAGCTGTGTTAATTGCTTTTGTTCCAAAACATTAAATGATGCAGTGTCCTTGAACAAAAAGAAAACCTGAAGCATTGTTCCCGCATTCTGAGTGCCTCTCGAAATGTAGACGCCCCCTGGCCACCAGACCTTGGTGTCTGTTCGCTGGAGCGACATGGTGACGCCCCCTATTCAGCACTTTGCACTTGAAATAATTTTCTGCGTGGAGGACGCCCACCCAGGCAAACTAGTGAACCCCGTGCACGAATCCGGCAAAACCAAAACACGACGTCACTGCCACGTTTTCAGGGAGGTTGTAAATGAGGGACCACCTGCATCTTGGACACCGCCCAGGAGGCACTTCTGGCGGGCTTCCGGGCAGCCCTCCCCGCCCTTTCGGCCTCCCGCCCAAATTCAAAACGCCCGCACAGCCTCCCTCCCCCTGGCCCCGTTGCCCCGAAAACGGCGGCACACCTCTCGTTGGATGCGCTCGGACGGCGTCCGACTCCGAGGCGCGTCAGGGATGGATCGGACGTGGCGCGTGGGCTACCTGTTGGGTTCGGACAGGCCGTGGAGGCACGTCGTGCGCAGGTGGGCTGCCGCCGCGGCCGCCGATCCAATCGGATGTCGGGGAAGGATTGGCGGTAGGGCGAGTGGGGGAGTGGCGGCAGACCTCCAGATGCGTGCGCAGGAACGACTTGAGTCTGCCGATTGTTGATTGGGCCTGGATGTTGTTGCTGGTGATGGGGTGCCCATTGCCGGAGAGCCTTTTCTCTTTGCTGTTTTCCTTTTGTTGCGAAGAGGCTTTCACGGGGCCGGTGCTGGCCTAGCGTCGCCCCTCTGGGCCGACGGAAAGGAAGAAAAACCGTGACACGAGCTTGGGTTTGGTTGATTCGGCGGGGAGCCCTTTCCATGGCCAGGGAATTGCTGAATATGCATTTCTTGTTGGCTGAGGTCGCGTGCGCTGGTTGGTTGATCGGGGTCGTGGTGCGCGTCAGGACCCTGGCCGAGAATGTTGGTCCTGCGCAGGGAGCCCGTAGCGAGGCACACAGTGTGGATGATGAATTTTCTAGCCACGCTGAGTGGGGCCTGAGCAATTGCATCGGCAAAGCTAGCAATGGATTGCCATTTGCTTGAAGGCATGTGGAGCAGAGCGCTCAAGGGCCTGCATGTGAGTGGCAGTGGCAAAGAAATACAACAGGATGAAAAGAACAAAATAGGAAAATAAAATAGACCAGTTGTAAATGTGGTTATGTAAGTAGTATCAAACTGGTGCTCTCTGCGTGTAAGGTGTTGTGGAACTTGCAGGGGAACTTGGTTCAGTCCCTCGGTGTTGGTCTTGTGGAATATCAGAAGTCCTTTTGGGGTCTCAGGTGCATGTCAACATTCTGTTGCACAATTGACTTGCCAGCTGCCACTGACACAGTTGGAGACTGTGCTGACTTATGAATGTAGAGGGTGTTGATGCAGATGTCGACTAGTGTGGCTGTAGACCCAACTGTAGGCAGTACTAAATCTGCTGCAGTTGGACCAGGCTGTGCAGATTGGGTGTTTTCTGGGGGATCCTGACCTAGCAGTTTCAGACTGCTAATCAGTCCACAAATGCTTTGACCTGGCAGGAGCCCACGCCTGAAACACCAGCGGCCACCCGAGAAGGAGTGCTTCATGCTGACTGACTCAGCGATGCTTGTGATCCAAATGGGCGACATCACTTTGTGGGAGGGGGATGCCATAGTGAATGCTGGTGAGGGAAATTTGGCTTTCTATCTGTTCATTTTTTCTGGTTCTTTCATTTTGTCTGTATCATTGGTTGATTGGTATCTTGAAGATGTTTCTGTACGTCGACGGTATCTGCCATGCAATATCTACCAAGGGACCACTAAGGGTACTGCTTTCCCTTCTTTTGTGAGTGTGCAGTCAATTTGCATCGATGTTTTATTCTTAGCAAATGTCAGTCTTGTAATTTATACTTGCTTGTGCTGTCTGCTATGGCAAAAAAAGGCCAATATCCCTTTGTTCAGAACAGGTGTGGCCCTTGAACTTTCAAATATGACGCAATATTGGAGAGAACGCATGCAGTACTGCACGTGTGCAGTCCTGGTGGATTTGCTGGATGTTGTCCTCTAATCCAGGTCGTTGCCTTTGCCTGGTGTCGGCACTGATCCCATAAATGTAGGGTATGCACTACCCATTTTGTCCAAAGTATTGCATAATGTTTAAGAGTCTAGGTATGAACAATAAAGTGCAGAGCACCACTCATGCAACAACTGCCTCGTTGTACCGTTTAAGGCACAGTGCAATTAGGGCTTAGAACGTCAAAGAACTGAATGTGAAGCGATGTTCTTTTTAAACATGCCTAGTAGTAAGGAGCCCAAACTTACTGCTGAAAACCCCATGATCCAAAGACTGCAATGCAACAATACAGGAAAGGTTGGAGAAGTTGTGCCAGGTATAAGAAGGAAGGGTTGGGGTATATTTCCTTGTTTAATACATTTACCACATAAGAGGATAACGATTAGAAACAGTTGCTGAACATACAATACTATGCACTTGATATACTAAATGGACCAAAACAAGTAAAGGAATAGAGTGTTGGTGAGGAACTGGACAATCGTCATGTTGGAATTCAAAGCCAAGCATACCTTGATTGCGTTTAGAGAGCTTGTTTAATCACAAATGTGGCCTGAAAGTGCTTTGAGCCCAGGAGGGTGTGGTTAGAAAGGAAGCAAGTGACTAACAGCCTGTGTCCTGCCTCCAGCAAATGAGCTGATGCTTGGAGGGGGAGGTGTTGATGGAGGTACGCAGGTCATGATCACTTGAGTGTGGTGTCTGGAGAGTCGAAGCTGGCGCTCAACAGAACTTGCCTGACATGCAGGTTTGGTGCACCGCTTAGGACGTAAAGTGAGGAGTTTTGGGCGTGTGTTGTACATAAATGCCAAAAGGGCAAAATGCTGAAAGACAATATCATTGGAGGTAGCAAACAATGAGGGCGGACTTCTCAGTGACAGCATTTGCATATGCCGGTTCCAATTGGCAAAGGATCCCTGTTGGTGACTGCAGTGTTTCCCATGCAGTAAATGCACGATTTGAACGAAGTATCAAATAAATAGATCTATAGCTGCTACTGCAGAGTCCTACACTTGCTGTTGAAATTGCGTTTCCGGCATTTCCGCTGCCACTGGTGCCAAGAACATTGCCAAGACAACACAAATTGGTCCATTCTTAACACAGTGTAACTGCTTGTTTACTCGTTTTATCTTAAGGCTACACTATTGGATCATTGGGACATGTTTTCAGCACGCAAATTATCTGCATGACATGGAAAATATTCTGCTAGTGTGCCAGGAAGAGCCCCACTGTCCTCGTGCTCTGCTGCAAGTGTGCTTTTGTGATCAAATCACATCAAAATAGATGGGGTGCCTCTGATTTGCAGCCCATATGTTTGACTTGCTGACCCTTTTGTTTTCAGCCATTCATCGCCGCGCTGGACCGGGCCTGCTGCAGGAGTGCAGGGCTTGCGAAGAGGTGGTACCCGGTGTCAGATGCCCTGTTGGAGAGGCAAGGATCACTGCGTAAGGAATGGCTGTGGCACCAGCACTCATGAAATGGTGAATGAAGAGCTGATTGCTTGCCCGTTTCGTCTGTTACAAAGCAACCATTTTGGGACTCGCTGCTGTCTGCACAGCGGCTGGCGGTGGCGCTCAGTCAAGTGCTGTTACTTGGTTCTTGGTACTTCGAAGTACTTAGAGCTACTGCTTGGTGCCAAGCACTCAGTGCAAAATGCTGTAGTCACATGACAAGGCGTTCACACGCCCCAACTCCACAGAATAGTCACGCAGGCTGAAGTTGTGCCCTGGCAGTACAATAATGCAATCGCTCGTGTTGCTATGTCAGTGCCCTCATTGTTTATGCTTGTATCACTTGCGCCATTGATAGTTGTGCTTGCTCACTGGAGGTACAGTGGTATGTATACTATTAGGTAGTGTATGAAATTGACTAGATTGTGTGGATGCCAATACAGGGGCCATCGTCTGCCTGTTGATTATGTCATCCACACGGTGGGGCCCATCTACAGGTCAGCAGCACGATCGGAGCCACTCCTGAGGAAAGCCTTCAAGTAAGTACAGCAGATTGTATTGTGTGAATGTTTGTGCAGCTAATGTATTGATGATGTGCCGATGATAGACCTGACAAGACCGGATCCGCGGGCAAAACAGCCGGCGGATTTTGTTAACTGGATCGCCCGGTTATCCCGAACAACCGACCGATCCACATCGAACTGATTATTTTGTAGATAGATACTGTATAGGCCTCTTTCGATAGTCAATATGTGGTTGTTTTATTAAAAATTACTGATATAAGAGTTGCTCTCAGGTATTGGCTGTGCTGCTGTGTGCAGATCCTCCTTGGTGCTGGCGAATGGAGTCGGCAAAGGTCTCAAAACGATAGCTTTCCCTGCCATCAGCTGTGGCATATATGGTTACCCCCTACGCAAAGCGGCAGAGGTGTGTATCCATATCAACTGTGCCTGAAAGCATTCTTGAGGTCTTGATTTGTTGAACCTGAGCTTCACCAGTCCATGACGCCACCTTTAAAAAGACGATCGCCTTTCCCCACCTTTTACACGTGACATCTATTGCAGCCCCTCCTGAAAAATGGCACACATGTGTGTCCCTCTGCACTACCTTGAAATCGCCAATCAAATCGTTGATGTAAGATCAGGTATAGCGTCAGCATGTCTGGGGGCCATTTGAAAGAACAAATTTGTTCTGTCCTCCAGGCTGACAGCAAGATTCTCCAATTGGCACCTCTCAGGGAGCACTGAACACTCAGACTTTTAAACAAGTCATGGAAGTGCCACCTGCTTCTATCCTCCCATTCTCTTTTTCACGTTGAAAGTGCCTACCTTACAACACACTCCCAACCACAGTCACAGGCATGTTATGTATGACATTTGGAGCCCCATCCTTACCTTGTCCATATGTGCTGTTTGTCGCGCACATTTGCTGTACAAATGCCACAGCCACCCGAATTGGAAAAGAGACGCCTGTTCTTGTGGCCTTCGAGGCTACTTGTAGCTTTTTCAAAGTTGTCACAAGTTGATGGTGGCAGTACTATGCGATGGAAATGCCCAAGGGTGACCAGCAATGGCCATAGGACGGGGCAAAGGACAACCAGTGCGATGAACGTCAGCAACCTCACCTTGACCATGGTCCTCAAAAGATGCCACTAGACATGCTTTGTTCCAAAAGTTCAGCAGTTTGTTTAGTGCCGTTGAAATCTATTCATTTGCTTCTTGGGTTCAGAGTGCGCACAAAAGGTAATGAGCCCACAGCTTCAACAAAGATCTCACAAACTTTATAACAGGCTGAGAAAGAATGCGGATGCTGAAAGTGTAAGTTTGTTAGTAAGTTGGGTCTCGTTGTAGGTGACAGTTTCACACTTTCATTGTCTGTGCATGCATACATTATGATATATAACAATGCACGATTTCAAGCAGTGGAAACTGAATTGGTCAATTCTCGGAGTTGCTCTGCCGCCAGCACTGTCCACTGAATGCAGGTAACCGCTCAAACTGCTCTATCCAAACTAGTGGCTGGGTGGAAGGGTACTTGAGGGGTAGGACTACCATCTGCCTGCCCCTGGCCCAGGTGGTTTGGTAGAGCAACGGGCCATCCAACCCAGTGATACCCAGTTCGATCCCCGGTCAGGCATCCTGTTCACCATCCGCTCCAAAACACTAGTCCATTGCCTGTGCAGGTGTCGCTGACGGCCGCAAGGGAGCACGTGGGTTCCCTGGAAGAGGTCCACTTCGTCCTGTTCGACCGCGAGACGTGGGATGCGTTCCTGGAGTGCGCCAAGTCCAGATTCAAGCGACCCCCCTCGCCGCCGGACGCCCCAGACCCGCCGTGCAAGCGCCTCCGACTGGATGAGGGAGAGGGGGAGAGCGGGGAAGGCGACGCGAAAGAGGACGGGAGCAATCGGGAGGAGGAAAAGAGGAGAAGCGGCGAAAAAGACGACCGAAAAAGGGATGATGGAAAAGAAAGATAAAGAGTGACTCCAGTGGAGGAGCAAGAGACGGAAAGGGAAATTTGACAGTGGCTAAGAAGGATGAAAAAAGGCGCGACGAAAGAGAGGACGGTGGAGAAGAGAGGTGTGGAGAGGGGGCCTTGAAAGGGGTTGAGAAAGAAGGTGGAAAGGAGGGGGAAGGGACAGTGGGGACGAGCGAGGCGGTGCAGGGAGTAGCTGGTCGTGGGGAGGAGGCTGGGAATGCGCAGGCGGACGCTGAAACGAGCCCACGGCGTGCAAGCGAGTCCAGGGATTGTCGAGCTAGTGATGATGGCGGGGAGGCCGCTGGCGACGTGCTAGTGCCTGCTCGGCGCGCATCGTCCCCCGGTAAAGCAACTGGCGGCAGGGATAGCGCCACGAAGGGCGTCGATGAGGGTGCGACAATGGATGCGTCGAAGGCCCGGGTGGCTGCCGTTGCCAGTAAGAGTGGGCCCTTTAGAGGATTCCATTGTTGGCGTCGATAAGGGCGTGAAATATCCCACCAGGGGTTCGCCAAACGATCTGCCTGGTGAACAGGGAGGCAACGGTGAGAGGGCTGTCGGACGGGGGGGGTTCGAGCGGCCCACAGCCTGGGGGAAGCAGGAAATGAGATACTGGGCGAATTTGCTTTTCCATTTCTCCTAAAGTATTGGGCTGGTGGCGTATTGGCCTGCAAGGCTGTTTGGGCGACGCGAGTCCTTGGAGGGAGAGGGAAAACGGGGCCTGTCCTGCTGGAGTTGTCTTGGGCGGCACACACCCAAGCCCCTGCACCCACGAATTCGGTGCGTTCGTCACCAGTACATAATGGCGGGTTGGAGCACAGCCCGGGGCTGAGGTGCAGCGTTTGCTCTATGTATTTCTTAGAAGGCCAATGTAGAGTAAAAAAATAGGTGCGTTTACAACCTGGGCGGTGTTATTGATGATGATGAAATTCCATTCATTGCGTGTCAGCGATCGAGGGCTATGTCGCCACCCAACCGCACAAGAACAGTACGTCCATTGTTTGTCCCAGGGGCGCTTTTGGTGCAAACTACCATAGGAATCCCTTCAAAAGGGCGAGGGTGGGGAGGAGGGAGACGATGCAGAGAGTCGGGGCTGGCTTTTCATTGTCGTTTAAAACATCCAGCGTCATTTCAAAGGTCTTTTGAAAACGACGTCGATCTCCGTTGACCAATGCTTGCTGGAAAATAGCGGATGCATCGGAAGTCAAAACGGGGGGGGACATGTGAAGGCAACCTCCTTTGGGGTTTGTTGTGGATCAGTGAAATGGCTTCACGTTGAAGTGCAGCGTGGTTGAATGCACCACAGAAGGGATATTTGAGCATACCTCGTCCGTGCGTTGCAAACCACCTTTCCAGACGTTGATCCCCAGTTCCCAGGAGCGCTGGACTGTAGACGATATCATGTTGCAAAAGGTCAGTATGCATGATGTATACTAATATTTTTTATTTCAACATGTGTTTTGGTGATGCAGTGTGCTACAGTGTATCTAACATCACATCTACATTGGCCTTGCTCTGAACCTAGTGGCAGAGGGGGATCAACCACAGGAAGTTTAACCCATCAGACCAGTCTCCCGATGGGTCTGATACTTAGCAATACAAGTGGCTTCATATTTCCCCCAGCGCATTATTCCACAGCAGCCACTACTGGCAATACAACATAAATTGTCATTTGCTGTATAATGAAACATCATAACTAAAACACTATATTTCTATTGTATCGCTGGCATGTTCCCTTCTGACGCGGTTGTGCATTTTTCGCTACTTGTGCTGAGCCCAGCCGCAACTCGTGACAACGACAGCAAAGCCATGGCTCAAACAAATCGATTTGGTGAGTTCTAATGCGAGTTACACTGGCTATTGTTTGTGCAATATCAGCTCACACTAAGTTAACTCAGTGAAGGCACTATGTCGATTTTGGTACGCTTAGCGTCAACTTGACGCTTAGGAGTGGGGAAGTCCAGACTTGTGACGCTAAGGAATCATGTAGTTGCCACAAAATCGGCATAAGTTGTGGACATGCTAAAAAAAGGGCCGCTGGGCATTGGGAAACAGCTTGTGACTTGCTCCAAAACCCTTCTCAGTCGTTCAATCAGCAAGGAAGGGCCCCCTTCAATTGACAGCCTCGTGGCCGTCCTCATTGCTTGGCTTGACTGCTAGAAACACATTTTTAACCCACTACAATAGGTGCAACTCCAGCTACCGTATTCCTTAAAAAGCTTCTTGAAAGCTGTTGTGCACCATAAGTTAATGCTGTTGAGCCATCCTGGCATCGGCATGAGGACTCACGCTAAGAGGGGGGGAAGGGGAGGTCTGATCTTAGCATCAAATTGACGCCAAGTGTACCAAATTGGACATAGTGTCTTCCCTTACATTAGTTCAGTTTGCAACTTGGCTTTTGCCACGAAACGCCTTAGTTCACACTTGTGCTGGAACTGGTGCACGAATTTCAGCAATTTAACACAACGGGGCAAAGGAATTAAGCTGCAGAAAACAGCCAAATTTCGCCACTGGAAGTCCCGCTGAGGTTCAACCTCGGTGGCGGTCAGCGCTCACGCTCGCCGACCCTGTGCGGGCGCGGTCACTATCCCCGTAGCGCTGACGCGTCGCCCTCACTTGGTCCCCCGAGATGGCGGCCCATCCCCAAATCATAATTTTTCCGTTCGCTCCCCTCGCGCGCGTTAACGCAACGCGCTGACATGGCAGTAACGGGTCCATGATTGACAGATGACTGTGCACGACTGTCAAGGGACCTTCCAGCCCGCGATCTCTGCGTAACTCTGTGCCCTCAGCTGCGTCTCCAAGCCCGCGGCCATGCCTGCCTCCGAAATAGTCCACCAGGAACCTAACGCACCAGCACTCGTTGACTCTGATAGTTGACCGCAGGAATGCAAGAATGGTTGACGATGCTGACAGGTGGATGTCAAAACCCCTGACGCATGCCGGTCAAATTCGCCGTACACATGGGCCCCTGCCCCACTCAAACGTAACTCCTCGCCGCCGCGCTCCAGTGCCCTTGGCACAAAGGGGGGTGCTGGCTCGGGGCCCCGACTCCGGGCGATTGCGTGCTCAGCGTGGTCGACCGGTTTTGGGGATGGCAAGCACGACAGGCGCAAAGACGCAGTTGATGGACTCACCGCAAGCGGCCGTGGACGGGACGGAAAGGCTGCATCGTGGGGAGGGGCGAACAATATCGATCGCCTCCGGGTGCCACGGTGAGTCGAGAGCCGCCTGATGACTTGCCCGAACGAGAGACCGCCGCGGGCGGCCAACCCGAGAATAGAACCAGCGGCATTCCGTCGAATCTATGGGCAGCAGATTGGGTGGTGGGGCCGGCAAGCGAGCGCGCTGGGTGTGGGGGCACGCGGCGCGGCTTGTACGTCGCGATCCGCGGCGGGATCAGGGACTGGTGCCCAAAGCGTGGGGCCCTGCCGAGTGTGGACCTGCGCAGTGGCCCATGCCGTTCGGCCCGCGGGGCCGTTTGGCTCCACTGCCGAGCGAGCGTCCCAATGACTACCTTTCGGGCCCATGTGGGTGCCGTGTACTGCACCGTCATTTCTCGATGATGACACCGGGAACGACCGCCGGGGGCCAGCGCCCCGTTCCATCTCAGCGCTGGGTGTCCATTGAGTCCGTTTGCATCTTTAATAGTGGGGAGTTGGGTTGTACAACACTTGTAAAACAGTTGCGCAAACGGTACAAACGTACGCACATTCGATTCCACCTTGAGTCTCCTTTTGGCCAGGCTGCGAGGAAGCTACCCCCCCTGTCTAATATTCTGGGATTCCTGTCAGTTTTAGTGGTCGCAGTAGCAGTTTGGCGCCTAGATTTGGGGTACGCTGAGTGCCAGGAAGACGGAGGGAGTGCCCGAATGCCCAGCCTGGGACCCCTTGATTGTGGCCAATCCGTTTGCCTCTTGCGCCCACAGAGTTAGTGCGAGCTCCGCTCCGTGGCTGCCGTCGGCCCCAGCCTTCGTGCGCTGCTCCAAAACGTTTTCAGTGCCCGATTGGTCCATCCATGATCCTTCCATGGATCCGAGGGCGATTCCCCCACCCGCCCGAAGCCCACCAATGCTCGTCATGACGATGATTCAATTTGATCAAACGGACTTTCTCTTTCCACGGCTACGTCATTGCCTTTTCTGTAAAGAATGATGACGATGGCAGTTTCGAAATTGAATTTTTATGCCATCAAACGGAAACTCTCCCGAATTCCAGGCACACATTGAATGGCCAACGGGTGGCTGGCGGCTGGAACATGGTTCGATTCCGAGTACGTAAAATAGTTAACCCTTCCGCCTCAGAAACTTTTGCTGCTGCAATTTTTGCTCCGCAATGTATTTCAGATTGTTATTTTTTACTTTTTTCACGTTGCTCCGCAAGAGTTTTATTGAAGGAGGGTTTTTTTATTCTATTCTTTCTCCGCAAGAAAAGGCCAAGCGTTTCCGTGCGGAAGGGTTTACAAGCCTGCGATACTGGTCCCTCCGGCTGCCAGCCCAGCGGCGCTCTCGCCAGCCTCCGTTGATCCAAACATTTGTGTTCATGCGCGCACCGGCGAGCTGTTTGGAGTTGCGCTTGGTGTACCAAGCCACCTCCCCGCTTCGCCCCAAGTTTTCTCAGCCTGTCCTGCGAACCGATACTAGCCATTCCGGCCATGAATGCATCGCCCCAGACGCCTGCATTCAGGGTGGTGCACCGCGCCCCGAACTGCCAAAAGCCTGGGAAGCTGTTCGGGTGGAAAGCGGGGTGAGGGGGGGGCAGCTGGTGCGAGCTTGAGGGCCGCGGTGGATTTTCCAACGTCTGCAAAAAATGTAGCTGCGGTGCAACCCGTCGGCTGCGCCCACAGTTGATAGGCATTTGATCCCCTCCCGCAGGGCCGCACCTTCAGTGCAAATGCCAACATGACGGCGTGGGAACGATCAATGAGGGCTGCGCAGGTTGGGCAGAAACGGCGTTGGCCTCCAAACGTGGCGGAGCTGAGAGCCAGGTCCCTGGCACAGCCGTCGATCCCCTCTGGTTCAGTTTGACGTCCCGACGGCGGCTTGGTCAGCCCCGGCCCCAAAACACGTCAACCGCCGCAGAGCCCCTGGCCACTCCCCCGCAAGGGACCTCCACACTTCGTCAGAATCGAGCTCCAATCCCGCGTATCCGCGATCGAGCGCAACGACGGTGCGGCTTGACTCTTTTGGCAATGTTGCTGCAAGGGTTGGCACCCAGTCTTGGGCCGACGTCACCGCCCCCCGCGCGGGCCCTTTCCTGAAAGGGCCGCCAGCAGGATCGAGAAACAACACACGCAATCCGTCAGGCCCCAGACGCGCGTCCCCGCAGCGAAGCACAACAAGGGAACAGCCCAACTCCTGTGGCGACGCCTGGTCACTCGTTAGGCCGACGTCACCGCCGCAGGGCGCCGACCTCCCCTCAAACTGCCGCCAGAAACCGAGAAAACACCGACGCTATCCATACGGCCACCCCTCCCCCATGTACGACAGCTCCGGCATGCCGTAATGCGCGCCCGAATACGGCGCCGGGCGCGTGTGGACGAGCGCGGCCGTAGGGGCCGGCCGGGGGTGTCGATGCGATGCCCCTGGAATCGCCGCCCGACCTACGGCAGGGTCCATGTCTTATCCCCCGCCGCTGAGCCGGTACCACGCAGCGCCGCCGGCCCGCTCTGCCGAGGTTTCTTTTTTCGGCGGCGGGGCCCCCGGGAGGGACAGGGGGGGCCCGGGGCGAATGAGCCCACCTCACGGCACGCGCCCGTGCTTGCCCCGCATTGCGGAATCCTTGGCGGGAGGATCGACGTCCAGCCTCACGTTGGATCATAAATTGCCGGTTTGCGAGGGGTCGATGAGGAGTGGGGAGGTGGCCGGCGCCCGGTCTGCAGGTGGGGATGCGGGGCCTGAGCCGGGGGTGGGTGGCTCGATGTTGCGGTTTTTGGTCGTCGGATTGGAAAGGGCGAGCTCCATCGGCTCCATCGCATGCGACCACGTTGGAAATGCTGCGGACCAGCGGGCTGGCCGAGGCCCCCGGGGCAATGACTCTGGAGCGTGGCGCGGGTTTTCCATGGGTACGCGGGGCCACGACGAAGATCGGGGCGGGCCCTCCGGTTGCCTTGCGGTGCCCCTGGCCCGATTGACATGTACATGCGGGAAGGTACACATGGGGGGATTGATTGTTTGGGGCGCGTTGGGATGGGTCCTGGCGCAGCGCAACATGCGCGGGGCGGTCTTCTGGACTTTGGCAAGGCCCCCCCGGACCGGGGTCGCCTGGTTGGCTCTCCGGGTGGATGGGCTCTTGCCCAGCAGGCATCGTTTGCGACGTTCGGAGTAGGGGCCATGCGCGTGACTGTCCGCCTGGGGCCTCTTACAAATCGCCACTCCCCCAAATTGTGGATCCAGTGCGTAGTACAGCGCACTCCGCCGGACGCAGATCCTCCTCTCGCGTCCGTCATGCGCACCTGCAGGCTGGGCCTCAGTGAGGGTTCCCTGGTAGTGAGGGTTGCCTGGTGGGTGAGGGTTGCCTGAGTAAGGATTGGGCGCAGCGGGGCCAGGAAGCGCCCCTGATCGTCGGCGGCCATGTGTGTCGCAGAGTACTGCGTTCCCTGGAGCAACCCGACAATGCGGGGCCCTTAGCCATATGCTGTGGCACGACGTGACCGCCGCCGGGCGATGGTACTGCTTGCTGCGCGTGCCGGTGCCAGCCGTGGCAGCGCACTGGGGGATTCAGATAAAGTTTCTGACGGCATTTTTTTGCGCGGCGCGCGTGCCAGGGCCGGGCGGGCGACTGGCCGGGGTGGCCATGGGTACAACAGACCCGATCTGCGGGGGAGCGACTGGCGAGGAGCGTCGGCAGCCGGCAGAAAGGGGCGAGTGCGTGGATGAAGGTGCGGCGGGAAGTTCCGGTCGCGATCAGGAATGGGCATCGTCGTCCGCGGTGGGATCCGATCGTCGTACGGCTGATGATCGGGCGGGAAGGGGTTGGGCCAGGCGGCGGTGGGTACCCCTGGCGGCGTGCGCGGCGATCGGCTGCTCCGCCTCCGTGGCTATCGCCCAAGCCGCGGCGCCCGTCTGCCACGGCGTGGGCTCGTGCGCGAGCTTGCTCTCCGGCGGGATCAACTGGATGACGTTCTTCGCTGTGTTCAACCTGGCGGCCATTTTGGACGTCGGGACGGTCAGCGATGCCGGGTCGCTATTGGGCGTCGCGGACTGGGCCTGGGACAACGAGCACGTGAGCGAGGGTGTGCGGGGGGCTGTGCGTTACACCGAGCAGCGGTCGGGCGACGCGGTCGGCGTGACGTTCGTGGAGGTGGGGTGCGTCACGGAATTCGCGGGGGAGCCGGCGTGGGTGTCCGGCTCTGCGGCAGGGGGTAACATGAGCGTGATCTGGGCCACGGACGGGTCAGGGGCGCCGAGGACATGGATGTGTGGAGCGAAGGCGGAGGCGCTAGGTGGAGATTTTGAAGGTATTGAAGGTGTGGAGGCGGCAGGGGGAGGAGGCAAGAATTGGAGAAGGGCGAGGGAAAAATTGCTGGCGCGGCGCAGGCCGGACTACGACGCCGCGGAGAGGCTGCTGCGCGAGTGGATGGTGCACCGGATCGCGGACAGGGGAGTCCGGTGGAGCGTCCCGGGGAAGGGCTGGGATTGGATCGCGCCCTTCGAGGTGGCCAGGGACGAGTGGATGGACCGCGAGCTGGTCAGGCTATTCGCCGACAATGGAACGGTCGCTGTCGCTATTGCCAACGCGGGGGGAGTGAACGACTCCGTGGCGGTGAGGCGCGGGGGATGGGACGCCTCCAGCGGAGCGGGGCCCGCGGCCAGGGCCAGCAGCCGGGCGGGGAGGGAGGCCAGCGCGGAGCTGTGCGTGGGGGACACCGCCAAGGCGGCGGAGGCGGGGATCAATTTGTGCAGAGGGGGCAGCCTGATGCTGGACAGGCGGCAGGCGGCGGGGCTGACGCTGCAGGGTGGGGCGGTCGTGCGGAGGGAGTTCGTGGGCGTGGCGGGGAGGTCGGGCGTGTTCCCGTCCAGGCGCGGGGTCGTCGATTCGACGACGCCTCGGCCGGCGTTCCGTCCGGAAGACGACCCAGGCTTGTCGATCGCCGAGTCCGGGGTGATCTCCTTTCATCCCGGCGCCGAACTCCGCGCGGCAGACCCCCCGATCGGCGCGGACGCCTGCGCGGCGACGTTCTACGGCCCCTTGAGGCCCGGCGTGCCGTACGGGGTGGACCTTGTCGATGGGACACCGGGACCGGATGAACCGGTGCTCAGCTGCGACGTTTCGGCCACCGCAGTGCCGGTTCGGCTCCTCAAGGCGGCGGAGCAGGCGGTGGAGGCCAATCTGGTAGGCGGGAGGGACAGGCCGGTGGCCGCCCCCCCGAGCGAGATCGCCTCCGCATGGCTCTTCGGCAGCCTGGCTGCGGCGCAGCTGGGCTGGTGGGTGGTCTGCGGCCTGCACCGCCTGCAGGATGCTCTCTACCTGGCCGCCCAGGCGAGTGTCAGTGCCTACGCCAAGGCTCAGGGCGCCGACGCGGGCGTGCCCAGGCTCCGCCGGCTCAACACCCACGTGCACGTGTACATGTCTTTCTACACAGACTGGTACCTTAATGTCCGGGCGTCCACCCTCAGAACATACGCCGCCGGGCTCGCCATTCTTGCCGCCGCGCTAACCTACGGAGTGGCAGCCGTGCCGATCGTCCTGCAGATGATCGAGCAGGTGCGGCACGACGCTTGGGCGCACAGGACGGCCTTCTCGCTGAGGACGGGGGACGGGCCCGGGGGCCCATCCGGGTCGCTGCTGCTGGCGACGGTGGAGCGGAGGATGGCGGGGAGCACGGCGGTGTGGACGGGGGCAGCGTGCGTGGTGATGGCGCTGCAGGCAGTGGTGCACGCCGTGCTGATGTTCAGGAGGATACGGGAGGAGCAGACGGCGCAGGAGCTGCTGGTGGAGGACGCGGCAGAGGGGCGTAAGAGCCTGTTCGAGAAGCTGCGGTCGATCGTGTGAGGAAGCGGCGGCGTTGTGCTTGGTTGTTGCTTGGCAGCCTTTCTTTGAAGTCTGGCCCCCTGATTTGGCGGCCAAGGTGGGGGATCTCGTCGCGATCGACGGTGCGAGGAAATTGGACGGCGCTTTTTTCAGTCGTTGATTGTTGACATTTCCTTGTTGACCGGGATGGCTGCTGCGGCGGTCGGTTTTCGTGAGGAGGGAGGGCGCGTATGGGCCTTCCTTTGCCTTCATTTCGAGTTTGTGCGAGGGGAAGGGCAGTTGTTTTCATCGCCGCGTTGTGCTTTCGTCGCCCGTTGATCAATCTGTGGGTCAGTCAGCAGAACGCGGGTCACCCCGCGCGAATAACGCGCCGCGGGGATAGGGAAGGAATCGATAGTGCAGGGGGCTGCGTGGATGCCGTTGGCCCAACACATCACCAGTAGACTCGGAAAGCGCGCGTCATCATGAACATAGCGAACAGGTAGGGTGCACTTGCCTCATGCTTGGCAAACTCGTTTATTTGATTCATCAGTGGGATCTCTTCTGTGGAATGGGAATGTGGCAGTATGTGGGCACGCTGCGGGGTAGCGATGGTGGCGGGGAACAAGACAGTAGGCCATGTGGGCACTTGTCTTCTTAGTGTCCACAGCGGTTTGCCGTGAGACCATCAGTTTTGCTGAGGCGCTGCATGAAGTGCCCGTGCCCATCAAGGGTTTGTTGCAGTGTGCTCGCTGTGACTATGATATAGGCTGGACTTTACGTCAGGACATAAAGAGCTCGATGGTGGGGGCAAGCACCCCGCCTCGTCCATTAGCGTTTGTAGTTTCTGTGTACGAGTCAGCAGGGGCACCGTCTTATTACTCTAGCGAAGCTGGCTGGATTGTAACATACAACACGGGGTTCTTTAATGCATCTTGGATTTGATTTGACGCGGGCAGTGCGGCGCTGCTGTGGAAGACCTATCGAGTGTGGATGTGGTGGGCATGCATCTCGCGTCCGCTGTACTTGGCGATCATCGGCAAGGATGGCGTCTTGATGCACCACCAGCCCTCGGCCCCGCACGAGCGCCACTGTGCGACCACCAGGAAGCGCCTTGTATGCTGTGATATTGAAAATAGGACATGCTCTGCGCGGCTTGAAGACTGGAAAAGGTGTTCGAGGCTTACACAGCAAATGTCCACTGAAGCTAGCCTTCAGACACTAACGTACTGCGGACGCTTTGGCCGTTTATAAATGATCAATCAAAACGCTAAGAGAAACCCTGGCGACGCTTCAAACATCCGACATCACGATCGAGCTGGCCAGCACAAGCGCGCGTCCGTGACCAGCAAGAAGCACACCTCGAATACCAACTTCGGTGCGCACGCGGCCCCCACGGGTAGGTGCCGCCTGTGGATGGCTAATGGCAGCACAGAAGTCAAGGCAGCTGGGTGCTTCAGCAGCCCGTACACGACGGCCAGCAGCTTGAGCTCCGCCACCCATAAACCAAACCCAAACTGTGTCAGCGTCGGAAGAGGGCGGGGTGGCTGGGTGGTTGGGGTGGGGTGTGGGGGTCCGCGCTCGGCTTGTCTTCTGTTGTGGGTAAAGCGCCCAGAAATAATATAGCGTCCTTTCTTATGGGAATCGATGCATCCTCTCCTGTGGCATTCGGGGTCCTAATGCAATCCACATGTATCCACACGCAGGAACTTGCAGAATTTTTGAATGGAACAAACCCTTTCTGTTTCAAATTCGCCAGTTAATTTCTGGAAGCGGCATCTGGCATATGTACGATCAGTGCATTGCGGAGAACATTGTCGCACAGAAATTCCCGGCATTTAAAGCGGTGAACAAGGTGTCTTGAGTCGCAGAAAGCAAGCAGGACGCAGGTGAAATCTCAGCGACTGACATGCATTCCGCCAGAAGCGTCATTGAGACTAACGACAGCTGTGCTGTTTGATTTCCCCGACAAGTGGAAAGGCGCAACGGATGGAATTCCGGTTGACTGCACTTTGGGGACCGAGACTGAGCGAGGCGAGCACAAGAACAGATCGAAATTTCGAGCTATGCATTGCTTAAAAGGAATGGATTGGATGGAGTTATTGTAAGGCATTCTGCCCTGGTCTTTCCTGAAAGCAGTTGATTGTCTGCTTCGCCGAAACGCACAGCTGCAACAACAGCATCTTACTGTATCCAGATTCGATGACCATCAAGCTCCTGGGCAGTCGACCAGGTCGGAGAAACTGCTCGCTCTGCGGGCAGTCCGGCCCCCTGCCTGCAAGTTGAGTGAAGCTGAACGTCGGGCTGCAAGTTGTGAGGGCGCCGATGCCTTCAAGAACCAAAACGAAACACCCGTCGCGGATCAGCTCGTTAACCGCGCAAGCACTCTAGGGTCGCCAACAAGGGGGCCATATACGCGCAGCCTGCGGCTCTGCCTTGCCTCTACCGTTAGGAAAAGCGAAGGCGGATGCGAACCGTATGCGAGCCATATGGGCCATATGCGGCCATGCATGGGCGATGCGCATCCAAGAGGAACGAGCCGCAGCAACATCGCGATCTGGACACATATTCGTGGGCTAAAAGCTGAACCACCAGCAAGGCCTGGAAGCTCTTGATCTCTTGATTGCCTCTTCAGCCAAATTCTGTCTGAAGAGAGGACACCCCTTGTTGATGCCTTGCCCCCAGGCCTTGCAGGTACCGAAAACCCAAAGTCGAACCTCAGCCCTCCCGCTTCACGAGCCAAACACCCCTTGTTGATGCCTTGCCCCCAGGCCTTGCAGGTATCGAAACCCCAAAGTCGAACCTCAGCCCTCCCGCTGTACGAACAAAATCCTTGGGGAAGCTGCCTAGGGAAGGATTGAAGAAGGGAACGCCATCCAAAAATAGCATTTTCCAAAGAAATATCGTCCCATATTCTGATGGGGAATTTGAGACCAAACTGGAGAAGTTTGCTTGGGCTGTCTCCAAGAGGTTCCCACTGGTAGTCGGCTCCGGGATAATTGGCGGAGCCATCGGTTTTTCCATGTGCTTTTTCCACCACATGCTGTCGAGCTTCCACTAACCCAGCAGAAGCATCGCTACATTGGGACCGGTCAGGGACGCGTTTGGTGTCCACATACTGGCATTGGCAGATGTGCTGTCCGATTCATGAGTTACGGTCACAGCCCTTGTAGCGAGCAAGTTTGTCTGAAGCGTATTTCTCGTATTGGACCACGGTGATGCGCCAGGTGCGGTTGATTTCATGTTTGCCATAGGCTGTCTCTGTGTGCTTGTGGTGATCTTGTCGGGAGCACGGATTACGATTTGGTCCTTGCGGGGACTCGAAGCTGCAAAATTGTAGAGATATTGGCTTGCCTGCAAAAGAGTCTGTTGGGGAACAGCCACCCGCCTTACGCATGGAGTAACTAATAAGCGACAAGAATGCGTCCAGGCGTGATTGGGTGCTGATTTTCCCTGGCCTTTCTGTTTTCGATGCTGAAGTCATCAACCGCCTGCTCTGGGGGGAAGAGCTGCATGGCTCTTGCAACAACCATTGCAAGGAATGTTTCCCTCCTTCGCACTTTTCAGGGGTGGCGTTTTGGTCCGGCATGATGGAGGACATTCCACAAATTGTCCTACGAGTTTGGTTCGTACTTGAAGCTGGGCAGGAGAATGCTTGGGCCACTACGGGGGCAATGGCGTCGTTAACTGTGACCGTTGCTGATGCTCTTGTCAGGGTTGTCTTTCCCATGCTTGTGAGAGTTGTGATCAGAAACATGTCCCTTTGAACGCCAGGGCGGCATAGAAAGGTTGCAAGCAGCGCAAACTGACACTGAGGGGGACGTCCCAGGATTCCACAGTGGCGAAGATTAGGAAATGTAGGAGGGCCCAGAAACGCATGCATAGTTGATGTTCTATTGACAAAGAAGATACGTATCTCTGATGGTGTTGGTGTTGTGTGGGCGACCTTGAGTGAATCAAACATATCAGATGATAGATTGTGACTAGCGTACCTGGAGGTGTTTGAGGCACACAATGGTGTCTGGTGATGAAGTTCAGCATGCCACCAAACAAAATCTGTAACTCCACCTGGTGAAACACTGTGGCCAACCAAGGGCAATGAAGGGAAGTGTAATAGATTCTCTACAAGCAGCCATGCTTGCTCATCTGACTCATCTGGCCTTACACGGATCGTTAGGTGTCTGATACCGTTCTAAAACAGTACTCGTCTGCTCTATCAACATTGCTACGTCATTGCCAATAAAATGACGCACGGCTTCCACGATGCTTCTACAGCATTCGCCATGCACGCGTGAATGCTGAGACAAGCATAGGTACAGTTTGCTACCTTCCCAACAGGAGTTTGAGAAGGGTGCTGTGAACGCACACGAGGAAGCAGCTGTGTTACTTCCACAGTCGTCGAAACACGACATGTCCCGTACGGGAGCCCTTGCGACGCATCATCCCCCCGCCGCCACGAGCCAGCTGGCCAGCACCAGCGCCGCGTCCGTCACCAGCAGGAAGCACGCCTCGAAGACGAACTTGGGCGCATACACGGCCCACACCAGCAGGTGCCGCCTCTGGATGGCCACAGACACAACAGACGCAAGTGCAGTCAACGCCCTCAGCAGGCCGTACACCACGGCCAGCAGCCTGAATTCCGCCACCTCTGCCGAATGGCTAGCCCGGGCACCTGGCGGTCTCTTTGGATCTGGGCGGTTCCTTAGGCCAGGGGGGCTGGTCGGGTGTCGGGCCTTGAGGCCCCGGACCGCGAGTGGGAGCGAGAGGGCCGCCAGGAGGTGGGGGCCCAGCGTGTTGAGCGCCAGCAGCGCCCCGGACACGAAGAACGAAAATTCACCGAAGCCGACAAAGGCCGAGTTGTACTGCAGGCCAGAGAACTCGCAAAAGTGGCCGCTGAAAAAGAAGGCCTGGGTGCCGAACAGTGACCACACGCCCGCCACGCACAACGCCGATGCAAACCCTCTGTCACCGGGCTCCAAGGACCCCTGACCGGGCCCCAAGGTTCCCTCGCCGGGCCCCAAGGTTCCCTTGCTGGGCCCTAAGGTTCCCTCGCTGGGCTCCAAGACCCCGTCACTGGGCCCCGGGGCCCCCTCGTCCAGGCCCCGGGTCCCGCCCCGTGGCTGTGTGCTCGCCATGCCCAGGAACAGGCGCATCTGCAGGGCCCCAAGGAACCCCACCAGGCAGCCCACGCGCCCGGACACCAGCACCAGTGGCGCCAGCACCGCTCCCACCAGCGGCCTGATCGTCAGGCCACATCCCTCCCCCGGGTGCCCATGCCGCCACGCCGTAGCTGCCACTGTCCCGCTGACGCACGTTAGCGACAGGCCATAGACGACTCTTGGCAACAGATCGGCCAGCGGCATCTGGACCAGCGGCGCGAAGGCATCCTGCCACACATTCCCCCACGGCCACCATTCAAGTGCAGCAGCAGCGCCATCTTGCGCAGCCTCCATAACAACCCTCAGGTCCATGCCAGGCATCTGAATCTGCCATCCGCTTGGGGGACCGCAATTGGCCCAAAGATCTGTGAGGGAAGTGGATATGGGTAGCCCGGCGTCGTGCACCGCCCACCATGCTATCACAAGGCTGAATGCGGAGTACACCAGGCGGCGTGCGTGCTCCGGCCAACAGGTGCTTTCCTGCCGGCGGGCCCCAACCACCACGGCTGGGGTGGCCAAGAGGGCGCAGTACATTGGGACCTTTTCCAGCCAGCCCGCCACGCCGAGGCCACCTGAACAGAGAGAGAAGTGGCAGCAGAGAAAAGTCAGGATGCGGATGTCCGATATTGTCAGACACAAGTTTCCAGCTGTTGTGCTGCACTCCCAAAGTTGAAAGTTGACATCGAAAACATGGGCTCAGCTATATTATCTTGCAATCCTCTTCATTCTCACTCATTCTTGGTAGAGTACATGTTATTCTATTATCCTATTCATTTGGCATTGAACTACTCACCTATTTACTCCACTCACTCCACCTATCTTACCTACTTTTTTTGTCAACTCTCATGTGGATTGTCCTTGTTTCATACGATGGGATACATTTTAATGCAGTTCACATGACTAGTCCTGCCCCTGTGCTCTGGCCACAGCATGCATGGGGGTTGCAACACAGCTGCTGCGCACTGCCACTCTGCATGGCAAGGTTGAAGCCCCTCTGCTGCTCAATGAGCAACACCCCCCAGTCACTGATGAACAACCGTTGCCCAAACAGTCAACAACCTGATCATCTAACCAACTACACAGTTGTTGCCAGAACAACAGCGCCAGACAATCATTCAATGCAAGAAATTTGTTGTATGCCAGGGTGGGGCATTTTCCTGCTGTTGAGCACACCCACCAGGCTGATAAGAAGACTTGTCAAATGGGTTGCCCCCGGTGCGGTCCACCAGCCCGATGGCCTCCATCCCCGCGTTGATCCCCAGCAGCGCCAGCCCCTGACAAACCACTCCACATGCACCCAAGCCAAGCCTTCTGTTGCGGCCGCTGACAAGCAGTTCGAATGCCAGGCGGGCCCTAAGGAACAGCAGCAAAACGCCCGCAAGCAGGAAGCCCACCATCCTGCCCTCCGCCATCACAAAGCTGTTGGAGAAGATGGCGATGGCATGGAGGGCAGCCACGGCCAAGAGGGAGGCGTCCAGGAAGTGTGTCTTGGGACCTTGCAGCCAGGACGTACGGCCCAGTGACCTGAGAGCAACAATGAGTGACTGTTCATGCTGCACTGAGCACAATCATCTTGGGACTGTGGTGAGCATTGGCCTATCCACAATCCTTTGTATGAATTTGCCATCGAAAGATAAAGAGGGGGCCTTGAACCTTGCAGGCGATGATGGACGTGCCAGTGGACTATCGGTATTGTGCATTCAGTGTGGTGCCCAGCACTTCGATGCACTACAAACTCTGTACTGCATTGCCAGTGTTGCATAAGCACTGTGATAGCAGTACTGCATTTGGTACTGCGCACTCACTACTGTGTTAAGGCACGGTACAGCACAGAAGAGCACATCCCAGAGGGACATCCCAGGGACAAGGCAGTACACTGAGCACTCCAGCCATAGAACTGCTCTAAGTATTTCACCAACAGCATCGTACCTGTGCTGCAGCGGCAACCAGTGCAACCATTGGACTGAGCACAACATCAAGCACTGCACACCTGCGTGCACGCATGCCCTCATGCAGAAAATGCATGTGATCATTTATATCATTAATTAATGCAAGTTATCATTTATCATTTATTTATTCACTAGCCCCACCAGAAACGACAATACATTAATGCTGCAGCCCTTTTTGTTGACACTGCAATGCTGTCAGCAGCTGTGTTTCGGGGGTGAGGGTAACTTAACTATTGTAGAGACTCTCTAGTAGCCTAGCCTAGGTTGTCTAGTTCAACATAGTTAAGGGCAGTTCAGTCATTCAGACTGTATGCTCAGCAAAATATCACGGCGCCCACCAGATGCCACAACAACGCCCCAGCCGTGCATGCACTCACCATGCCAGCCAAGCTTGCCAAGCAAGGCAAGTGAGCAGGATCGATATGCCAACTGCAATCGGGCCGTTGTGGAACTGGGTCCATTGCTGCCGGGCAAGGCGCGCTGCACTCGAGAGGAAGGCCTGGTGGGCAGCCATGGCGCCGTCTCCCTCCGGCCCTGACTTGGATGACAGTGCCCCGAGTTCGAAGAGTGCGTTGGTCTCTGACAGGCTGGTGGGGTCAAGGTGAGCGCCCGTGGCAGCATAGGTGTTTAAATATCTGTGCACCTTGGGAGTGCAAAGACACATCCACAATATCTGTGGTACAATATTCATTAAATGCTGTTGGTTTGTGTGTGTGGAGAGTGCACTTTGCTGTGTTGAAAAATGATGATGCATACTGCTCTGTACAGTGTGCACAGCGTCCATTTGTCAAGAACTGTGCATTGCATAAAATAGAATAGCTGTGTTTTTATTCAATATTTTGCGGTGGATCATTCCATTTATTCCAAATGTACTGTGATATTTTTCAGGCACAGAATGACTCATGGGCGATGAGATGGCACTGGGAAGATTGCCCTCATTGTCCTTTGTGTCTATACTCTTCTGGAATCAATAGGTAACGCTTTGGCTGACAGAAAACAGTACTTGACTCAGTCTCGATACTGCAAAGCTCAGTGCAATGTGCTTTGGAAGCATGATATTTCTTCACACGCAGTACTGTGTGGCTCAGTGCTGACCATGCAATGCTTGTTTTAGAAACAAAAGGCTGACACTATCTAAGTGCCAGCCCCGGCTGCTCCAAGGTCAGCAACTGCCTCGGCTCCAACCATACTGCAGCTGCATTCATGATGATAATAATAAACATACCAACAATAATCATCATAGTAACAATAAATCAAACGACTTTGAAGCAAGCTGGCTGCACCCTCACCTGCCAAGCATTGACTTCTACTGCCCGCTGCAAACTCCCCGCGTTGGCATCCCCACCCCTTCCCTCTGCCACTCCCCACAGCTCCTCAGAAACGGACCCCACATTTCCAAACGGGATCGGCAGGCCCATCATCAGTGCCAGCGTAGGCACAAGGTTGACCTGATCAACCGTACTGACAACATCGAGATCAGGCCATTCGTCCACAGCAGCCGCCACCGGCAATTGAGATTGTAATTGCGATTCCGAGTTCGGTTGCGGTGCCATTTGTGGGGCAGGTGTGGGCGGCGATCTGAGGCTGTGCAGTCGACCGAGGTTGAAGGCTATGAGTGCTGTGTCGACCTCTTCGTCAGATCCACCACCGTGGTCACCGTTAAGCGTCTGGCCATGATCGCCAAAGACAAGCAGCAGTGTGTCTTCATGGACGTCGCCTGCACGACAGAACATCACCATTGATTCAACAAACCTGTTTACTAATCTCCAACAACAATATGCACTTTCACCTACACTTTGGTGGGTGCATTCGCATTGCACTGCAAAATGCTGTCTGCATGCAAGAGTGAGGTTGCTGGTCACAATTTATGCAGATGGAGGTCATAACGTCTAAGTACAGAAGTTTGACTGATATATCGTCTCTGTGCTGCATTGAGGGCTGTCAACGACGCAGCCGTTCTTGGCACAACGCATGTAGATAATTTTGGGTTGCCAAATGTGCAACAATGGGAAGTTGCCCTTGTGTGCATTATTGAGGTCATCTCACACATGGACAGGGAACTATGGGTCCAAGTGTTGTTGGTGGAAGGGACACAGCTTGCCTTCTCAGCATGCACAGGAGATGTGCCACAATCCTGACTGGGTGGGAAAGCATGGGAGATCGCCATTGAGCTTGGGAGTCAACAAGTACCATACAAAGGTTGTCGTCACAGGCCAGGAGGCAGCCAGAATAACATGGCAGCAAAGACGCAGCAGACATCTAAGGCCTGAAAGTCGCACATGCTAACTCCAACCAAGAAACTCACATTGATTGAGGCCAATGGGAGAACGGACTATGTCCAAGATTCGCTGTAGATTAAGGGTTCCACAGTGGAATTCAGCCGTCGTTAGATAATGTTCAGCTTGCAAACAGTCACTGGGGCAGTGTCCAGATGGCAGTGGATCAAACCAACAACGAATCACAAACTCATCATGAACAGACTGCTCATTTCAGTGAACCAGGTTCACAACAAGGTGATGTTGTTTCCGTTGGCCTTCAACTTGGTCCCTGTTGATGAGCCATGGTTCTGCTTGATGGTTGATGATGGAAAGGTATGCTACATCCACCTTTGGAAATGTTCAACAGTATCCTGACTGCCTGACAGCACTTTGTACAATAGTACATCAATTTCTGTTTCTTGGTATCCATTTGGTTACCTGCTTCTGCTATGCTTGCTATTCTAAGATATATATCAAGTTCTGGGTTCGAGGGAAGGGAGCCTGCTGCATTGCACGAAACCTTCCTTTTCGAGCAGAAATCGACACCAATCATGCATTCATCTACTGAACCACTTGAACCAAATCATTTGTCAATCAAATTACTTCAACTATTCAGCTGCATAACCAATACAGATACTCTTACTCAATACTCATATAATCTTTACAATCAAGTTGAATTCAGTGTTTAAGGAATCTATTGATCGAATCTGCGCACCTGGCCCAGCGGCATCCACCATGGCCATCACTGTCTCCGATATTTGGTCGTCCATTTGGTGCAGTTTTCTCACCATCTGGGGACTCTGGACCCCAAACGTGTGCCCTGCGTGATCCACGCCCAGGTAGTGCGCGATCAGCACATCCCAGTCGCCCGTGCGGTTCAGGGCCAATGGCAGGAGATGCTGGGGATTGGCAAACACTGGTGAAAACAGGCCCGAAGCAACACTGTCCAAAATGCAACCGAGTGTGGTTGAGAATGCAGACAACACGGCGTTGGAAACAACCTGTCAGGCAAAGTTGGTGCAATATGGAAGTTACTGTTGCCTCATGCGCTATATGTTTATAGTTTATGGCCAGGTTTCTCTGCTATTCACATTCTGTCCCTGTTGTCACAATGGTGAGCACATTGTTTATTATTGCAAGGAAGGAGTCTGACGCCATTCCCACTCACAGATGCGCGCGCATGGCCTGGACGGGCCCCTGGAACAACACACAGACAGTTCCAGAGCTAAAATTCCATGCCAGAACACCGGGATTGCATTTGATTCGTGATAGGGTAATATTAACTACAATAATATTAATCAACAATATTGACTAATCAAACAATAATCAAATAACAATCCAACAATGATCCAATAATCCAATAATATTAAGTATCAAATACTACCAATTGCGCGTTCATTTTTGACCCTTTGACAGTTTTGCGTTCACCTTTGGCCTGGGGAGAATGGGTGCTGCGGTTACTTCAAACAGCGGTACTGCAGCACGCGTTTACTTCAACATGGTGAAAAGCTGGAGCACATTACTTCAATTCATGTGTGGATTCATGCGTCCAACACTTGTTAATTAATGCTGCCCCCTACCTCCCATACGCCATCGTCAACAGTGTCTAGGTCCTTGACGTTGAAGGATGGGTACGGAAGGGCGATGTTGAAGGTGCCAGGAAACAATTGCTCCCAGGTGTCATCACCAACAAAGGCCTAAGAAGAGCATGCAAGGCACAGAGGGGCAACAATGGTGTGAAGAGGAATGCAAATCAAAACGAAAGAGAGACAGAAAGGGGGAATGGAAAAAAGACACGATTGCCAGCACAATCCCGGGAACGAACCTGGAATCAGTGCGGCCAAATGGCTCAAGGCAAATAGAGGTACACAGGCAACAAACATCACAGAGCGTCACCAGCAGAAGCACAAAGGGACAGAGTCATATTCTGACCAACGAAATTGGGAGATAAAAACATTGTGATGTCATAAGAAAGGGGTAAAACATGGGATCGCCGAAAGAGATGGTCAGCAACAAAGCCTGAAAGATTCAGCCAGATTTAAGGGAAATAAGGGGATCAAAAGATATCCAAAAACATTTTGAAAGGGAAGCAGCTTTGGGAATGAGAAAGGGTATGGTCGCCATCAACAAGGTTGCAAGTAAGGTCAAGATTCAGGGCAAGACACCCACATGTGCTCTCATTCAGTAGGGACCTACCAGTTTGTCACCCCTTGCCTTCATCTGGCTTATCAAGTTGTCCTCCACAACAGCAGACGCCGAGAAGCTCTTGCCAACATCAAGGAAGGTAGGAAGACCGCCCTGCAGATCCAAATCTCGAATTCAACACTCTGGAGACCGAATCTAAACACCAAATTCCAAGAGCCCAAACATGAAGGGTCACACCCTGCTGCATGCACCGTACTCTTGCTCGTCCCTTGCCCCTATTTACCTGCCTGGGCCAATTTACAGGGCCATCAGCTTGCTGGCGCAGGGGCATTGTGCTGTGCAAAGCCTTAGAAAAAAGGATCAAATCGATTTGGGTTGAGCCTCCCCTCCCCCCCCCCCCACACTCTCGCTCTTGGTTCTGGCCTTTTAACACACTTCTTGACGCACATCCGTATCCAACCTACCAAGACATGCGCAACAAAGATGGGTGTGGAATCCTGGGCATTCTTGACACACACCCATACCCAACTGCCAAGATGAAACAAAGAGGGATGTGGAATCCTGAGCAGCACACAGCCCATGAAGATTGATGCCCACTCCTCAGGAAGGGCATAACTACAGAATACCAAAACGTCCCTCACCCACCCCATAGGTGGGCTACACAGCCCACTGTTGAGTTCATTCTGGGCGACTTTCACATTCTCAGGGCCATGCCCAGAGATGCCCATACACCCACATGACAACAAAAAACACCAGCACATCCAGTCTGCTGCAAGACAACCTCACAAGATGGCAAAGGTTTATATTTGGAGGCCAACAGCTGATGGCCACGTTCGGATCTGAAATGGAACACTCACTCATTTCCGATGGTCTCAGGTGTATGGGGTATCGATACCGTGAGGGTCGCCTTCAGGCGCTGCATCGTGGTGGTAGGGGGGTCCGCCACGAAGCGCACCAACACAGAGCTGTTGCCCTGGTAACACAGCACACGGCGATGCATAATTGCTGTCGTTCCTCTGTACCCAAATACTTTTCTATATAAAAATGGTAGTCTTTTGTGGTGGTTATTGTATCCTGAGCCCCAGCCAAACGCCTAAAAAGTCAACAGGGTTTGAGCAAAAGGACTACAACACTAATTTACTGTTGTATGCTGCACATGTCCCTATCAGAGCATCGAGACGCTCTAAAGGGAGATCCATGTTGATTTGAGAAGCAAATTTAGTTCAAGACTCACAGCAAAGTCGAAACTTGAAGCACATTGGCAGTTAAAGATTGCTTTTGTCTTGCTATGGAATATTGCCCAGACACCAGCAAAATGTGTGCCAATCATTTTCGTGTTGTTGATGCATTTCATGAAGTTTTGATACAATCACAGACACAGTGACAGTGCACAGCACACGGCCACAGAAACAGTGCACTGCCCATTCACCTTGTACGGGATGACAAGAACAAATCAGCCGATTGTGCTATCTTTTCAAACGTCGTCTTGAGACAAACAACTGGACCACCTGCCACTTGGCAACTATGGCACTGCTGTGCTCTCCCAGCTCCAAATGTTCTGGGGGCCCTGTACAAAGATCAGCTGCTGCTTGTGGTGCATCTGGATTGACTGGTGTATGCTAATGTGACCAGTTCTCAACAGGTTCAAACTTGAGGCAAGAAGGCCTCCTGACCAGCACAACCCGTCATCAACTTTGACATGTTTCCACACCATTTCTTTGTTGGTGTCAACAACATGGGAAAACAGCCCTCCTAGAGTGATGCCAAAATTTGGTTTCAGGTCCTTGCTATTGACCCAATTTTAGAGATGAGATTCCTGGCAGTGGTACACTGGAATCCTAGCGTGGGGCAGAACTTCTCAGTGATGGATCCATGTACAAAAAGCAATCTTGGGTGTTGCTGATATCCATGTACGATTGGTTTTGGGTCTGGGTTTTCAAATGGTGAGGGTTTTGGTGTGGCTGGAATCAACTTGCTGGGCTACACATTGCTGAGTGAATGATGCTGACAGTGTGCTGCTCCTAGCAGACTGTAGCAATGCAAATTCAGCTCAGAAACATGGGGCAGGCAGACTGCTGTCAAGGGCAGAACCATCTTCCTTGTCAGATTGATAAAGAAGCAAGGGAATCAGCGAGCAGCTCCTGACGCAGTGCCATCACTTGCAATCGAAATCCAACAGCAACGGCGTCGTTTCTTGGCGCGCACGTGGCCCCATTCCATTCCCCAAAGGCGGCCCCTGCAATGATTGCAGCTTGTCGTTTATTTTGGCTTGGGGAGACTATTTGGCAGTCTCCAATTTTACTCCTAGTGTGAGGTGCAGTCTTGGACGCTGTGCTCAGAACGTGAGTGACACTAACAATCCATTGATGCAGCAAGCAGAAAAATGACAATGCATTAACAATGCACACCCAACTTGGGGAGTCCGAAGTTTGGACAGCAGCACTTCTTTATTCCAAATAGTACATCACACTGGGGAGGTGCTGGACATTTGGGAGGTATCCTTTTTGATTCCAAAATACAAGTAGCAGTAACAGCAGAACAGATTAACTAAAACAGTAGTGGAATATCACATTTGGATACCTTGAGGACGAAAACAGACCATAATTCCATGTGCACTGCTTGCTATGAGGACATGGGTGCCCTGGGTGTATGGGGGCTGCCGATCTCAGGAAATTAAACAGTCGCTGTTTGAATGCTTCTGCAAGTCTTCGCCTTGAACGTACGAAACCTTTTGTTCCAGTGGCCATTTTGATGACTGCGATTCCCGGATTTTACAGGTGGAATACTTGTTTAATCAGTGCTTCATTGATGGACTAATTACTGTTTAGTCAATCCCATAATTGCCACCTTAACTGGCAGCTTGTTCCACATGTTTTGCTCATCTCTGCTCTCTCAGAAACCAGCGGCAAGCCCGGGGGCCGTTCCTCTTCCCCGCAACAGCATCCAACCCCCACAAGGCAGCGGAACTCCCAAGGGCCGATGGACGGCCGAACGTTCCGGATGTGCGCCCGTTCCGTCTCGCAATTGCAGTCCAAACAAGCGAGCAAAATGAACAGAATTCGAAAAGAGAAACAAAGAAAAGCACAAGAAAGCAATGCAGCCCGGCAGCCACCCACCGCTTCCTTGTGCAGCCGCATTAGCCTCGGCATCCGCCCCGCGTGCATTCCGCCGCCCGGCCCCGCCAAAAAGTCCATCCTCAGAGCGTCCAGGATGATCATCACTACCCGGCGGAACCTCGCCCTCCCGCAGCACACCCCCCCGCCCTCCTCCCCATCCACTGGGCAGAGGCAGCCGCTGACGTCCGGCAGCTCCACCCTCGTCAGCAGCAGCCCCCGCGCGAAGATGATCAATCCCAGCGCGTGGCAGGCGCCGATCGCGGCCGTGAGCGCAACCGGGCTCCAGGTTCGGGCGTCCGTCCCTCCCCGCCGGCCGCCCATGGCGCCTTGGCGGCGCCGGCAGCACTGCGGTGCCCAGGGCCCAGGAGGCGACACACCCACAAACCCAAAAAACGAACTAAACGACAGCAAAACGAATCAAAACGAACAAAAACAGGCACCAAAAAAAAGCGACGAAAAAGACAGGCAAACGAGTGCGGCAGAGGAACCAAAAAAGGTCGGTGTGAGTACGATAATAAAGGAACAAGAACGAACAAAAAGACGGGCCCAAAGGCGCCCCAGTCAAACCAGAAAACACAGAAGTGAGGATGAACGAAAAAGGAACGAGAACGACCACAAAAGACAGCTAAAAAGTGCGGCAGACAAACAAAAAAAGGCCGATGTGACGACGACAAAAAAGGAGCAAGCACGAACAAAAAGGCCAAGCCCAGAGGCGCCAAGGACGAACCAGAAAACATCGAAGCGAAGGCGAACGAGAAAAGGCCGAGCGCAACCAAAACAAGGCCAAGCAAAAAGTGCGCCAGACGAACAAAAAAAGGCCGACGCGAGGGCGAACAAAAAGAGGACCGAAAGTGCGTCCCCGACTCCGTCGACCGACGCCCCCCAGCCCCTGACGCGACAACATCGTCCGCGCCCCGCCGCGCGCCTTCACCCCCGCTTACTAAACCCGTGTTAGGTTTGCCCCCCGCGTGAGTCAGGCGCCTGCGGCAGGGCCTCACAGGCTCCCCCCAAGCGCCGCTGCCTTGAGGGCACAGCCGTGCTGCCGGCCCCACCCTGCCGGCGACCCACTGGGCCGGGCCGCCGCGCCAAAAACCGCAGCGTCCTCGCGGGCACGCCGTGACCCAGGCCGGCACCCATCGTCCCATCCCTCCGCCGCATCCCTTGGGGGCCGGTCGGCGGACCGGGGACCGCGTTTTGAACCCTTTGAGGGGCTTCGAAGGTCCGATAGCGCCGGGGGGCGAATCCCGCGACGAGTGGGAGCGACGGTAACGGGCGGCGGCTCGCGGCGGCTGGGCGCTGATCTGGGCGGCCGGGGCGGGGTCGAGGAGGTTCGTTTCCCCTGGGCGGGGGTCGGTTGATGCGAGCGAAGGTGGGAGGCTGAGGGCCGGCGGCGTGGCCAGCGATGGGTGCCTACCTCTCTCAGCCGATCACGGAGAAGGAGGTGTTCTACGGGGCGGGCTCTGACGTGGGCTATGCTGGGGCGTCCATGCAGGGATGGCGCAGGCACATGGTGAGCACCGGCCCCCACGAGAGCGCGAAAAAGGCGACCCCGGTTCTCGTAGAGGTGGCGGGAGGGAGTGGTGGCGGGGGGAGTTGGGGGGGGTGGGGGTGGGGGGTCGATTCTGGGGGGTTTTAGGACGTGAGCTATGCGGGGGCGTCCAGGGAAAGATGGGGACAGCGCGTGGTGAGCGCCTGGCCGCCCGCGAGCGCGAAAAATGGCGAAAGGGCTGACGCTCGACTCTGCTGGAGGTGGGGACGGGGGTTGGGTTGGAATTTCGGGATTTGAATGTGCGCCTGGTGTTCGGGGCTGTGCGCAGGAGGACGCCCACGTCGCCGCGACGGACCTCGGCGACGGCGCGACGACGGTGTCCGTGTTCGGCGTGTTTGACGGGCACGGCGGCAGCGAGGTGTCCAGGTTCTGCCAGAAGTACTTCGCGGCGCAGCTCAGCGGCATCCCGTCCTTCCCCGCCGACGTGGGCGCCTCCCTGTCCGCGGCCTTCCACAAGATGGACGACATGCTGCGCGACTGCTCCTACCACAGGGAGTTGGCGGGCATGCGCAACGGCGCCCGGCCCGTCGTGTCCGCGGCGATGGTCGCCGGGATGGGAGATGCGGCCGAGGGGGAGGAGAAGAAGGGCGGGGAGGGGGGCGGGGATCCGCCCGCGGGGGGCAGAGATGGCGGTGCTCCAGTCGCAAGGGCGGGGAGCAGGCCGCGCGGGGGTGGCCGAGGGGCGGCGACGACGAATCCCGCCCCGTCTGAGGCTGTCCTCTGGCAGCTGAACGTCGTGAGGAGGCTGATTTCCGGTGCCCAGAGGGGGAGGGGGCGGGGGCGGGGATCGGCGAACGGCAACGCCAGGATGGCGGCGGCCTACAGGGTGAGCAGGGGGGAGGACGGGTGCGGCCACGGCTGCGAGGGGACGTCCCACGCTGGGGCGACGGCGGTGGTGGCGGTCAAGCGCGGGGCGGAGCTGTTCGTGGCGAACGCGGGCGATTCGCGGGGGGTGCTGGCGCGGGGCGGGGCCGCCGTGGCGATGTCCAAGGACCACAAGCCCGGGCTGAAGGACGAGAAGGCGCGGATCTTCAAGGCGGGGGGGTTCGTGTCGGAGATCGCGAACCAGGACCGGGTGAACGGCAACCTGAACGTGTCGCGCGCGATCGGCGACCTCAAGTACAAGTCCAACAAGAAGCTCGCCCCGCGGGAGCAGATAATCACGGCGGAGCCCGAGGTGAGGCACTTCGACCTCACGGGGGACGACCGGTTTTTCGTCCTGGCGTGCGACGGCGTGTGGGACGTGATGACCAACCAGGAGGTGGTGGACTGGGTGGGGCGGAGGCTGGACCAGGGCGCGGCGCTGCGGGAGATCTGCGTCGAGATCCTGGACAACTGCCTGGCGGGGGACCCCAAGATGACCAAAGGCATCGGGTGGGTGTCCCCCCGTCCGCCTCCGCGCGCGTTCCTGGGCTGCGGGATGGCTGGGTTTCCGCCGAGGCCGGGCGGCCGCCCCGGTATGTTGCGCATGGGGCGCGCACTATCGCGGGGCCCGTCGCTGCAAAGAGCGCTTCTGGGCGGACTGGCGCCCTGTTGGAGCTGGGTTCCTTTTGGCTGAGGCCGGCCTGTCTTTGGTGCCCAGTGTGTGCGCTGATCCCTGGACCAAGATCAGGGGTTTGGCGCGGGGCTGGCAGCAGCGGGTTGCTTTTTTGGGGGAAGGGGGAGAAACGCACGGCCCATGACAGACGCGCGAGGCCTGGGGTTCCCCAATGCCGGCTGCAGGCTGCCCGTCGTGGCATGCAATTACTGGCTGCACCAAATCGGTGACTTGCTGCACTAAATCGGTGACTGCTTGCACCAACTGCCTCCAAAACTTACCTAACCTAAAATTTAAACCCTAAAACCTAAAACTAAACCTGCCCTAACCCTAACCCTAACCCTAAAATTTACCCTGAAACTAAACCTAACCCTAAAACTGAGGTTAGGACACAGCGTGCACGTGACTTGGTGCAAGCAGTCACCGATTTGGTGCAGGCAGTAACATTATTTCGGCCGCGTCGTGAGGATATATTAGTCCCTCGGTCTTTTCCGTGAGGATCCCTTCTTCTACCGCTGACATGGCCAAAGTGGGTCAGTGCGTTTGTGATTCTTAGGGTTTAGGTTGTCGAAACAAGAAGGGATCTTCATGGAAAAGACGGAGCGACTGATTTCATGCCGTCGGCTGCGGCCTGGCGGTCGTTGGCGGGGCGACGGCTCCGCGCCGTACAGGATGCGCAACTGTCTGATGCCCACCATTTCCGGTGTGCGAAGGGCGTGAAGGCCGTGCTCGGGTTTGTGGGACGTTCAGAGGCTCAGTTCATGTATTTTTTTGAAGGTTTTGGCTATTTGTGTGGGTCTTTTGGGGGTTTAGGGTTCCTGCAGGTAGGGTGGCAGACCCTTGTACCCTTGTACCCTTCACAGCGTTAGCGGCTTCTGTGATCTTCGCATCTGGAATGAATGGTTGGTATCGGACGCACCCCACCTAGCGATGCACGTGCTCCCTCCATGCGCCGTTCCAGATTGCGCACCAAGCCAGAAGTCTGCTGCAGGTTCCTTTGTGCAACTCCTATTGCAACACGCATTTTTGTGGCCCTTGTATTGTTGGAATCTACCTTACAATGTTGTGCATGGGAGGCTGTTGCGTGGTTGTTTGCACCACCAGAATGGAGTGGTGAGTTGCTGTTGCCCGTGGTGATAGAACTCATTGTTGTTAGCTGGCACATCTTATTTCCCCTCCCCCCTCCTTTTTTACCTTCATGTGTGGTAAGGTCACTTCACTGTCGTGTCCAGCCTTTTTGCTCCCGCAATCTTCGTGTAGTTTGCAGCCCTTTCCTTGAGCGAATGTGAATGCAACGAATGCAGAACTAAAGGTATAACCTCCCCCTTCCCAAAGACACGTGTCACCATCCACACCAGACTGTGACATATGGACAAATGCTGCTTTGGGGCTACACTCCCATGTTTTGTGCACAATCATGCGTTGATCAGTGGGCATCGTTGTGCCAGAAAAAGGGGCTTTGCTTTGTCATGTTGCAGAAAGTGCTGGATGCACAGTTCCCTGCCCAGCAGCTTTCTCTACAGAACATGCTCTGTTAGCGCCCTGTGTCCAAGCTCTCTTTTGAGGCCTTGCACCACATTTTGAAGGACCTTGCTTAGATCCAAAATTGCTTCAGGAACAACAAATGGCCCTAGTGAGAGCGCAGCTTATCTGCTTGTGCCTTGGTTCCATTTGTATTGTTGCATGGGACAAGAAGCAATGTTTGTGACGCATTCGTTTATGCGCTTGGGTGGCATTTGCCTGTTTGGTGTGTGCTGTTCCCTTTGCAGTCTTACAACAGATGCATCATAGTCCACAACCTGAAAGACCACTACCTCAATATGTCAATTCTGTTTTCTTTTCGCCGGGCGGGGTGGGGTGTAGCAAGTTTGGTCTGCCTACCTGCGTTTCCTTCTTCTCTCATGAGCTTCTGCACATATTCCAAGACGAATTCATTGGAGTCCACTGTGTGGTATGGACCTCAGTGACGCACTTAGCTGGCAGTTGGTCCATCCCAGGCAATTCCTTTCCTGTCTGTTGTTCATTTTCAGCCAGCGCGCAGCAGGTGCCCTGTCAGCTTACCTATGCTGTGCTGCGACGGCCAGGTGTGACAATATGACGATTTTGATAGTTGAGCTCAGGCAGCCAGCGGAGAATGGTGAAGCTTAGGGCGCCTTTGCACCAGTCCCATCATCACAGCGGGCGCCTGCTTCAGCGGGCCCTGGGCGCTTCTTCAAGATCAAACTGGATGTGCTGCCACTCAAGACTTTGGGCTGCCTGGTGCCCAGTCCATGCCCCAGCACAGGCTTGCTCTCATGGCGGAGGAACGAACTTTCTGCTGCCCCGACCACTCCACCACCCCACTTTGCAACTCGATCCCTGGCCGGAGAAGCATTTTGGGTAGCTTTCGGTCGGAGGCCGATGCATGGGTTTCCTCGGGCGTGCACTTGTGATCGGGTGTACCACACAGGGCCTTGGACTTTTCTCGTGTCTGGATTCTGGACCGGGGTCTGGATTCTGGACCGGGGTCTGGATTCTGGACCGATTCTGGGTTGTTGGAGCATTGGCTGGGGATGCAGTTCCGCACAAGGGGGGGGGGAGGGGAGGGGCCGACGCCCTTGCGACTGGCGCCTGCTCTGTGCAGATTTTTTCAGACACGGCGGTTTTTTCATCCGGTTTTTCATCCGGTGTTCTGGTGCTGATAGGCGGGGCTGGGCCCCAGGGCCCGTTGCTCCAGTTGCCAGGCGTGCGGCAAGTTCTGAACCTTTGGTATCGTGGTTCGAATACGGAACGCAACAGATGGGAATTGAATGCGGTGGAAGGGTTTGATGTACGTTAGCATGGCAGCACTGTTTGCTTGATTGGCCGCCCTCAATGTTTGTTCGCTGGCGGGGTGGAGGGGTGGGGGCTTGGGGCTGGAAGGGAGGGGATTGGCAAGTTGGGTGTGTGGCAGATGTTGAGGCGTGCGTACAGATGGGCTGGCCTGCACGCTGCGAGCCTATGAATAAGGGCCGTACGCTTGCGCCAGGCTGGGGGTTGGTGACGGTGGGACGCGCGTGAGGGGGACGGGTCGGCGTTGGAGGCTGGGGCGGCGTGAATGTGGCATTCTGCAGCTGCCGATGGGGCGAGGGGAAGGGTGGGTGGGTGGGTCCGGAGTCCGCCGGGCTGCTGTGTGCGATTTTGGCTCGTGTAGGCATTGGCAATGTGTTCCACTCCCTCTGCTCATTTTCCACGCCCGTGGACGAATCGATGAATCGATTGATCGACGAATCAAGGAATCGACGAAAACGCAAGAATGGAGAGGACCGCAACTGTCACACCGGTGGCTGTGGCCCCCAACTATCACTGTCGAAGGCCATGTCCCGTGTTCCCTGTTGACCCGTTCCCTGTTAGCGGTGAGGTCACGAGCTACCCGTGCTGCATCCAGGTGAAAGATTGGGGATCCGGCGGTGGACGGAGAATGACGCGCATACAAGAAATCGTTTGTTCTGAGAATCCATCGACCTGCCCGAGTGCGTTTCAGCGTGACTGTGCTGTCGCGTGCCGGACAGAACGCTGCTCAGGAAAGCGTTGCTCGGCGAAGCTTCGTCTAAGATTCGCCCAAGGGTCCGTCCAGGGAGATTCCGTCCACGGCGTAGTCGCCGCGGAGCTCGCCCTTGACGAGGGTCCGTCTTGAGCAGCGTCTGAGCGCTGTTCAAGAAAGCGTTGCTGGACGAAAGTTCGTCCAAGAGTTCGTCCGCGAAGATTTCGCCCGCGGCGTATTCGTCGTGGAGCTCGCCCTTGACCAGAGTTCGTCTAAGAGTTCGTACAAGGGTTGGTCGACAGCGGCGCTTAAACCCTGCTCGAGAAAGCGTTGGTGGGCGAAACGGTGCTCAGGGAAACGTTGGGACGGAACGTTGCGTGGACAAGTCGGCCGACGCCACTCGCGCCGGCCCCCGTTGCCGGAATGTTCGTGTGGCGCCCTCATGGGGGGGAGTGTTGCAGAGTGTGCGCATCCGTTCAACGCCTCAACAGATGTTCATGACGTTCCCGATTGGATGGATTTATGTTCGCTCCACACGCGTCACATACTTGGCCCATGATTCCATGAAACGAAATTGATCCATTGGGACGGCGGGCTTTCAACTGTGGAATTGTTAAGACACTGTCATGTTGTACACTGCACTTTGCGCCACGCTCAGTTCTCCTTGATCCCGTAAGGCGACAACTATTTGCTTCTGAAGTACACACTACAGTCATACGGTGGGTTGAGTGTACCAACATATTGTACTACGTTCTCAGTGGCAATTTTCCAGGAAATTACATTATGTTTATTGATACAGGCCATTTCGGCCGCGTGCACGCGTGGCGCAATGGATAGCGCACCAGACTTCGGATCTGGGGGTTGCAGGTTCGAGTCCTGTCGCGTGCGCTAATTCTCATGCCGCTTTTCCTTGTCACCTTCCCTGCGGCTGCCCCAGCACGAGTGCATGCGGTTCGTTCCCAAACATGTACTATAATGTATTAAAATGTGCTACAAATGTAGCACATGCAGAAAGAAAGTAAGATTACTGTCGCTGCGGGCGGTACGCCACCAACAGGACGCGGTATGTGGAGCAGTGCGCAAAGCTAATGCACAAGCCACAATCCAGTTTGGACATGGAATGGAAGCGAACCCCGAAATGATGCACGCAGCTTGTGCAAGTTGTCCGGAAGTTTCCACTTCATTTCCACCGGTCCAGCGTTTGTTGCTTCTCTTTTGTTCTTCGCTCTACTTTCATTAGCTTCGTTTCAGTGTGTTGCATCATCTATTTCTTACCCCCTTGGTCGCCTAGAATGGCTTTCGTCATTTGCTCCAACGGCAGCAACAACCATCAAAGGTCAACTTCCTGAACTCTGGCAATGCTATCATGGACTGCCGAGGCAAGGCAAGGTGCTTCCCAGTTGCTTCCCAGCAACTCCACTCCAAATCCCAGTTTCGAAACCAAAGCGACGTGCGCGTACGGTAAAAACACTCAGAATTTGCGCATCTGATACAGCTCCCCGCTCTGCGGTCCTGACCTAAAAGTAATTGAGCCTCCAATTTCGGGACGCGCAATTGCACCCCCAAGAGACTCCCACCCCAGAGCGCCCACCTGCAAACCCTCGATGCTGCGGCAAGCCCACGCCCAAAGCAACCAACACAGAGCGCCGCATCCGAAGCACTGAACGCATGACATACTGCCCACATCCTCCCGCTGCCCCCATTGCTTTTCTACCATTTTCCTACCATTTCCTACCGTTTCTCTATGTTTAACCGGCTCGCGCTGCGCGTCCAGGCACGCCTCACGGTTGGCGGCTGGCCGGCGGGGCCGGCAAAGCACCTGGGCATGGCATCATCGCTTTTAGAACCCAACTGCCTCCCGCTCCCCTGACATCAACGCCCGCCAAACGTGCCGGATCCTTGAGGCCCGCCGCGCCGGCGTCTCGGGCAGGTCTTTGGGGCCCGGTGCCACGGCGACGTCCACCAGGGTGCGGTAGACGGAGGCGAACTCGCCCTTGGCGTGGGACACGGGGATGGGGGGGCGCATGCTGAGCTCCTTGCAGCAGGCGGCGGTGGTGGATTTGATGTCCAAGGGCATGGGGGCATCCAGCTTCGCCGCCACGAAGAGGCAGGGGAGGGCGTTGCCGGCAGCAGTCGACGCCTGTGCACCAGGGGGCGCAAGCTGCTTAAAGCATACAACCATTGCAAAATGCATCCACTTGATGCAACATGCACAACGCCTGCAATGCCGTAGTATAGTGAACCCTTCCGCATCCAAAAATTTACCGTTGCGCTTGTTGCTTTGAAGCTTTCAGAGCGTCATGTTAATTTTTTTGCGTTGTTTCGCATAAGTTTTGTAGGAAGAGCGTCATCTATTTCATTTTTTTCTCTGCAAAAAAGGGCCAAGCATTGCGTTGCTGTGCAGAAGGGTGTTGAATTACCAGTAATTGACCACTGATCTGCCTCCGTCAATTATTGATTTGTAATCCGATGATTAAATGGTGGCACAATAGAATCCCGTTTAGGGGAATGTCATCCAAAATATCTTTGAATGGCTGTCACCTTTTCTCGATGTTTCACATGCAACTCTTCAGTTCTCATAACTGGAGGTCGGTGGCTGAACCCTGATGTGCAGTGAAACTCAATGAGAGAAGTGAACACATATATCAAAAAGCCAGGTTAAAGAGATGAAAGTCTGACACACCAAGACAGCCGCAGCTGCCATGTTGTGCAAGCACCTGTTCATGTGCTGGCTGATTGGTGCACACATTGACCTGATTGAGACTGCGGGAGGACGGCTGGCCAACAATCAGCTTCAATCTTACTAATTTTGTTGATCGTGAGTTGGTACTGTGGGTTGGAGCTGTGGGTCGGTGCCGTGGGTCGAAGACATGGGTCGGTGCTGTGGGGTCGCGTGTTGTGTGTGCGTGTGTGTGTGAAATGTGAGTTCAGTCTGGCCTTCCGAGTGCGAGTGCTGGTGGGCGGAAAAAGAGGCGCGTTCTGGTATATAAAGAGAGCCCGAGACTTGTTCGTGGCTTCTCTTGGTTGGGTTATAAGACAAGCCGAGTCTTGGCTGCTTGTCCGACCATGCACGGCGAGTGCGTTCGAGCACCGCACGCACCAAGGTTGCCACAGAGGTCGAACCAAGTCGGTTTGACTTGTGCTGCGTTGTGGCCCCACGCTGCACGCATTCGATTGCAACGAGCGGGATCTCGAGCCGGGATGGCTAAAGAACTTTGACAAAGGGTTGAATCTACGGTAAGCATGGATGTGTCTGCTGTACGCAAGACGCATCCACTGTATGTGTCTATTGTATAGAGATGCTATGTATTGTTGTCTCACATTGGGCGTTCAAATCTATTCACGATCAACCAAGTCGAAGATTCTAGGTTCGGACATCAACAGAACCGATCCTTGTGACAGGAACAATTGCATGATTGCCGCTACTTGATGTTACGAACTGTGAGTCCGCGCAGGGTGCTGTCCTGCCTACAGGGCAGGCTTTAAGAGGACGGTGGGCATCTGGAGGATGGGCGACAGAAGAACTCAACTAATCATATTTTGTGCTAATTTGGCAAGGCCAGTTCCTAAATTAGAAGACAGATTCCCTAGGTGCGTTCCAATTGAGTTGCCTGCCCTAACATGATCACTGCAATCAAATTCCGATCAACAAGCCACAATGCTCCTGAATCAACACAGCTGTGCTGAACCTTCACCAGCCATTGGCCATCACATCTATCAATGGCACAAATGAGAAAAAAACATTATCAAACACCAGTCAGAACTAATCAAACAAAATAATCAAAAAGGTAAAACAATAATCAAATAATAATCAACAAATATTCATTACACCAATAGACAGTTCAACCCTTCCCACCTGGAGCATCAGGCCCTGAGCCTCCGCAAACGACTTCGCGTCGTTCCCATCAAAAACGAACACCGCCACGTCCGCAGCTTCCAGGTGGGTTCCTTCCGGCTGCGACCCGGCTTCAGGCGGCGCCTCCTTCAGCAGCTTCGCCGCAGCTTCCGATCCCACCTCCCTAAGTACCAGGGTTTTCTGGCCGTGCTGCGGAGACGCCACGGAGGCCACGGCAACGTAATCGTGGTTTGGTTCCAGGCCTTGGGATGAGGGCGAGCCTGCACCCACAAGGCCGCGCAGGAGGGACGTCTTGCCGCTGCCCTTCGCCCCGAACACCAGGCACTGGACGACAGACCTTGCAAAGCACAGCGACTGTCAGGTCATAGCATTACAAATTACCGTAGTACATTCAACCCTTCCGTGTAGTACCGTAACGCTTGGCCTTTCTTGCGGAGCAAACAAAAATTGTAACGCTCTCTTAACAAAACTTTCCGGAGCAACGTAAAAAAATGAAAATAACGCTCTGAAGCAAAATGCGAAGCAAGAAGCGGAATGGCAGAATTTTTTGATGCGGAAGGATTGAATATACTACGGTTGGTCACAGTGGTCATAACATTGGGCCACGTTAGGTCGATTAGGTGGCGTAAGGTCCCAACATTATAAATTCGGTCAAAATCGTTGGTTATGTTATGAACTTGACCATATTGTTTGGGGTTTCCTGAAGCGAATGTCCACATGCCAATTTAAATATGTGCTGAATCACCAGTAAAATAGAGGCCAAAATACACGGCTTTGAAAATCGTGTACCGTTCAACATGATTGCAAATGCGTAAGAATCGTGTTAAACTGTGTATTCATAGCATAAAAATGGGGCCAAACCGTGTGGTAACGATTGAGTGAGTGCACATGATTCTTACAAGTTGTGACCCAGTTTTACACGAATTTTACACGCTTCGAAAGCGCGCAGTTTGGCCGATATTTTACTTGTGAATTGTGCCGATAGCCCCTGGGCCAGGCATCGGGAGCCCGCTAGCCAGTGGGCTCGTGGGCCCTGCAGCAGCGACGCCCTGCCACTGGCTTCTACCCAAACACAGGGGGCTCAAGTAGCCTTTCTTGCACTTATAATTCCGCCCCTTCCTCATTTTCTGTTTCCTTTCTCAGGCCCTCGCTTCTGAGTGTTTGCTCGCTGGTGAACGTTTCCTGGATCGGTGGCTCGCCTCAAACAGAATGCAGGAAGGCAAGCAGCATCAAGTCCGGCGATTTTTCTTCATTTTCTTTTGGAAAATAAATAAGAATGTAAACAAAAAAGAATAAGAAATAAAAAGGAGTCGAAATTAAGGAGTTCTTGTGGAGCCTACGGTTTTCAGTTCTCCTATCATTTCTTTCTTTGCGGCCCCTTTTCTGGAGTGCTCGGGCTGAGAGGGAGCTTGTTTGTGCGCGGCATCTTATCCCTTTTTGCTCCAAAAAATGTGCTCGGGGGCCATTGGCCCTCCCTTGATGCTGACCACCGATTTCACAGGACAGCAGACAGAACAACATAGTGGACAGCAAGCAGGACAGCGGACCGGAGCAGCAGACAAAGCAGCAGCAAACATGGCGGCCAACAGGACGGCAGACTGGACTGCAGGCCAGAAAGCAGACTGTGCAACAGGCACGGCAATCGACAGGACAGCAGACAGGCCAGCGCACAGGACAGCAGCCTGTCCAGTGACAGGACACTGGGGCTGCCGTGCTGTGGCAGGGCGCGGCAGGATGGGTCAGGTTTCGGCTGCAGCGGCGCGCCCTCCAAACCTAACAGTGGCGAGAGGGCAGCCTAGCTGAAGAAGCTAGCTGGCAAGGAATGCCAGCGCTGGCATGCGGCTAACTTGTGAGGTTATATCTGTACAATTCTGCCATTCGCAACGCACGCAGAAGAGCTGCTACCATCTGCAACACTTCTTGTTCGTCAGCCTCACCTAAACGATCCGCTTCAACACAAGAAAGAATCCCCGTCTGGAAAACTGGTACAACGCAGCAAAATAAGCCCCAAACCTGGCTCTATTCTTTTAAACATTGTGAAATGAAGTTAGACCACGCTCACCTGGATAGCCGCTCTTTCCGCTCAAGTCTTCGTGGCTTGCTGCTGGCGCACAAGGCCGTCACCTCCTGGCTGTCGCATCCCAGGTACAGCAGCTGCTTGAGGGTGGCCTTGGGATGGATGAGCATGGAGTACCGCCAGCTCGACAGGAAGCCCTCAAGGCTGATGCGGCCGACGTGCGGGTTGGCCACCAGTACGCTCTTCCACACAGGTCCTGCCGGCAGAATGAGCAGGCGGCAAAAGTTATGACCGTAATGGTTTGTTCCGGTTTGCCGTGCTTCGCTTTGGTTTTCTAGGCTAGTTTGTTTTGGTTTATCGCTCTTAGTGATTAAGAATGCTGGTGGACGAGCAACGGGGAAAACGACCCGATCGGAGCAATTCAAGCGTTCAAGTTTATTCACGGCAGCAGTAAGAGCGGCGTTGAAAGCGTTGATGGTACTGATATTCCCGACAGCAATAGTGACAACAGTGACAGCGACGATAGCTGCAACAACATCCAAAAGTTGTATTAGGTGGAGGACTGACTGGGCAGCGATGACCGTTGCGTGGGTCGACACCCAGAACGCTGTCCCCAGCCGACGCCGGTGGTATGAAACAATATTTGGCAACACGTCGTGGTGCACTTGAATGAGACTGATCAGTGGTGCAAAGCAAAGGAACCGCTTCGAGCACAGCTGACCCCAACACAAGAACGAAACAATTAGTAAGGAAACGTCATAGCACCACAATGACAGCAATATCATAATAAACTATCTGCCTGACGCGAACGCGAATGCGCAGAAAGCCAATCATGGAGCCCTGTCTCGGACAACTGGTACAAGACTGATTACTTTACAGTACTGTACTTGTTTGTGCCACTTCTTCCTGAAACGGTGTTGGCGCAACACATTGTGATGAGTCAATGTGTAATTGCACACACCTGACCAGATGCGCTCGGGCGTTGTCTCATCCATCTCGCTGAAGACCTTTGCCTCCCTGACGCCGCCCGTCTTGTCGTTATCCAACTTTCCAAACCAGTTCCTCAGGAATGCAATCGACTTGTCGGTGAGCTCCATTATCTAAATCACCAAAATCAAATAATCTTAGACATGTCCTCAAATTCAATGGAATAGATAGACCAAAATACAGACGTGTGAAGACAAAGCTAAGTGCGCGTATATTCTACTGGCCTGTTAACCTTTCCGGTAAAGGAAAACTCAGGCTCTCTGAAAAGCATCCTTTAGGGATCCAGCGACGTGCAAGCAAATGAGACACTGAAATGACTTCAAAGCGAGTGTGCACGGTCTTCAAGCAAAGCCAGCCGTCCATTCGTTGCCATGTCAGGTTTCAATGAAACCGCAATGTCGAAGTTGTCGGCACAATTGGCAAGTCCATTTCGACAATGCCGTCACAATAACTTTTGGGGAAGGAGAGGCGCAAGGCTTAAACTCTGCAGTACTTGTTGTGCCCGCCACCCTATCAGCATCAGCATCGCCATCGCCACCATCATTAGTGAACGATTCAGTCAGGGAGTGCAATGCATCAAGGCAAGGACTTGGTCTATGGCAATGTCAAGGTCAGCATGACCGTTCGTGGTTGTGCTGAACCTGATCGGGTCCTATCTCGAAGTTGACGTCATCGATGAGCTCGTCAGAGATTGTGAGGTGATTCGTGTATCCGAACCTCCGCAGCACCTGGTGTCCATCCAACAATGCATGCAGTGTTCCCTCAGTCCATCAATTCAAAGACATCTATTCTACATTTCAAAGACATCTGTCCATCCATCAGTCAATAGGCAACTTCGGTGGGCTGATCAGCAAAGAAGTCTACGTCACACGGTGATGCAGGATTAGAGGGTACCTCCACTATCCTGTGATGTGGCAGAAGTCTTAACTGACAGCATCTGCCCCTGACAGGGATTGACGCATCGGCTGGAAGAAATAGGTTCAAACCCTGACACGAAATCAATAATCAGTATGCGGTAATAAGGGGCCACACTACGTCAATTGTTGTACAGTCAACATCAGAATGACACAAGGCTCAGAGTTACCCTGCCTTTAAGCCCTCCCTCAATGTCTTGTCTCGCCTTCCTTCCATGAAGAGTGCACTGAGGGAGCCTACAAAGTCTTTTTGGCCTATTGCTTTTCTTTTTGTCCTAGACAATGTCTAGAAATGTACGAAAAACTGCAGGACATCCACATATCCGAGACGCACAAGATTGAGACCCAGAGGGCACAGCAAACAGGATCCAGTGAAAAGCGCAGAAATGCAGCCACGTGCGACGTGTCGAATCGCCATCCCTCCAGAAAGAGTGCATAGGGAAAAGGGATCTAAAATCAGATTTTGGGATGGGGGATTCTAGAAATGTATGTAGAACATCAGATTGCCTAGAAATCCATGAGCCACAAGACAAAACAACCCTAAGTGGAAGGACAGAGGCAAAAGCAAGATCGAAGGCAAAGACAAGATCAAACAGCCCAGAAAATGTAGCCACCTGCCACGACGTCTCGAATCGCCCTCCCTCCAAGAACAGTGCATTGAGAAAAAGGAATCCAGCAAGTGTGAGACCGTCACTCTCTACGCCGGCAGGCAGCTGTGCTCCGACCGTCTCCAGTACGCCAGTCAGTTCGTTGGGCTGGAGCGGTGTGTTGAAGCAAGCGATCTGAGATGGCAGCAAAAGATAATGATGGCATACTTTTGTCCCGCGTTTTTATGTCCTTTCATCTTCATCTTGCTGTACTTGTGTTTGCCGCTTGTACCTGTTATGCATATAGTTTCGTAGTTCTTGTGCTTTATCAATAGCGTTGCAAAGTATCATGCTGCAGCAATATGGAAGAAGATGAAATAGGAATTTACAGTCACAACAAGATGACAGCTGCAAGCACTTTGACAATGGTGCTGCACTAGAATCAGCACTATCAGGAAGTTCCACGACACCTTCAGGACAAAGTGGGGTAAAGCAGAAGTACTACCCTCAGTATCACTCCTTCCAAAAAAAGCACAGAACAGGGGAGCTGATGTTTGCCTCCTCGCCTTGACACACAAACAGCCTTGGTTGATTGAAAACGACCAGCCTCTTGGGCCCTAATCCTCGTTTCGATTACATTTGTCACGTGACAAAGCAAAACCCTTTTCACCAAACTGACGATGTGGGGCAATGGTCCCAAGCACATGCATTTGTTAGATCCCACAACGCTTCTTCGAGTTCATGTCTAGTCAGCCCAAAATGCTGCCGGCCAGCTGAAGCCAGGACAACACAGCAAGAAAACAGTCCAAGTTCCAATCCAGCCGAATGAATCCCAGGTGTAGGCTGCTGGCCAACACCATCCAATGAGAGAACTGGCCCATGGTGTGAAAAGCTGCATCACCCAGTTTGCATAATATGCAGCATGAATTTATGCAGCACAAATACTGATGAACTGGGTGGTTTCTGGTCCACCTGCATCCTCATTTTATTAACACTTGTCACAGGACATAGCAAAAACCCTTGCAACAAACTGGCGATATTGGGCAAATGGTCCCTCGTCGGGTCACACCTGGAATGCGTTGATCTCCCTCTCGTTCAACCTCCCGTCGCGGTCATGATCGCACAGCATGAAAACGCGCCGAAGGGCCTGGGCGCAGCGGGGGCGAAGTTTCTGACTCATGTTGTCATAGAGGGGAAGCTGCGGAAAGATGACGGCCTTCAGGGTGAACTGGAACACCTGGAAGCAGCACGAGCAACCACAGCACAGCTTCAATACTTAGGCCACATTCACACTGCATCTACATTTTCGGCTTTTTCCTTGTTCGTTCAAGCAATGCACTATGTAGTTCATCAGCTAAGTAAGACACCAATCAATGCTACTGAGCAGTGGCGCATTCGCTATTCAATACCCACATTAGTGGTTCTAAACTTTGGCTAGTCTTATCCTTCAACTGCACCTGGGGGTATAAGCGCTCAGCTCAGAATCTGATGGAATTCTTAACCAATCGAAATCCCTCCAGATTTTAGGGGAATTTCGAACGATTCTAACTTAGCACAACTTTTGAACGAATCGACGATCGCCCAGGTTGTTGTCACCTCCTGTACGAAGCTGTAGCTCTGAGCCGAGCACTCGATGGCCGTCTCAACCTGGCGGAACTCCTTCACCAGCTCGTCCAGCTGCCTGCGCTGCATCTCCAGTGAATATTCCTCGGGCGCATTGTCCATTCTGCAGGCGTTGGCAGGTGCGAAGCATCAGCTCACTCTTCAGCACCATGTGTTGACAGGAGCCTTTGGGAAAAGTCGGAGAAGGGCAGCACCACTGAGCGCCAATCTTGCACAACGTTCCTTCAATTGTAGGCTGCGGTTGATCGCGATCAGATTGCCATGTTGATTGCACACACTCACAGAGAAGTGATAGCTTAGATTCAGATTCAGGTAAGGATCATTTTACTGCAGTCTTTATAGCGTATTAGACTCCTGAATATCAGTAAATGCTTCTTCAGTTTCACCTCCTGAATATTTGTTCTTCTGAATATTGATAATTTTTTCAAGTTCAATCTCTTTTCATGTATGTCACATCTAATTTCAGGGGTTTACTTGCTCTGGGCACGCACTTGCAACCGCAGAGCACGATGGGCAGTGTGTCTTCCAGCTTATGCAGCTCTGGCAGCCAATAGTCCTTCAGCCGCCGAATGGACGTTGCCATGTCCACGGCGTAGCACAACAGCACCACGTCCACATCTTTCAACACCTGTTGCCACCACAAGCCTTATGCTATGAAGGAGACCAAAATTGGAACCAGATTGGAAGGTTGACAGGTTTGTGAAATAGACACAATTCTTTCATGGATGGCAGCACTCTTGTGCTCCGTGAAGGAGATCAAAGCCACAACACAAACTTTGGCTGAGATGCTGCTTCTACGAGCACCTTCTCCTTCCTCTATCCTTTTGGTTTGCTCAACAAGAGACGCAAAAGCCCTGACGGCCATCAAGCACTCAGTTGAGGCACGGCCGATCAATGCCAAGATTCATTGTCCGCGAAAATGATAAACATGTCACAAACTTGTGGACTCTGGAGAGGCCCCGTCGCTCACCTCACGCAGGGGGGAACTGTTGTCGCTGCGGCTGGACGTGTCCTTCACGAGCAGCGGGACGTTCTCCGCCTCTGGAGGCAGCCGCGTGGGCGGCAGGCAGGGTGGTGGGTTGGGATCGAAGGACTCGGTTGCCGCAGCAATCAGGGAACTCTTGCCCACTCCTGGGTCGCCCAGGACCACCACCTGGGCCGTGTCGTGGAGCAGCTTCTCTCTGTCGATCAGGCCGTTCCCTGCGCCAGGGACACAGCGGGGTTTGAGTGCAACAGGCTTTGGGTTCACATGGGAGTCGAAGTGGTGTCCTGAAACGGGGTTCTTGGTGGGAGAGGAAAGCAACGTGTTCCATGCATATCCCTGATTCGGGTGGCTGATATCTGGCATTGACCTGACGGGCTGGGGTCGCAAACATTCCTCCCAGCACGCCAGACTCTGAAATTTCGAGCGTGGGTGAATCTCATTGCAAAGTTTCTTTCTGTTTTCGACGCGGCATCGCCGCCGAAGAGAGATCGCCCGCGCGCAGGAATCGGAACTCGGGAAGGCGGCTGGCGAGCTCGCTTCCATTCACCCAGGAGACTCTAAGCGCCGCGGCCTTTTTCAATTCGCATGATGGAACGTTCGAGTCCCGCAAAGCAGAAGAGACGCTCACAAGACCGGCGGGCCCGTCCGCCCGCACAGGGCATCCGCGCCGCCCGCGGGTCATCAACTCCGGCGGCCGAAAGCGAAGGGGCCTGCGATTTCCAACGCGGCGATGGGAATCGGATCCCGTCCGAGGGCGGCAGGCCAATGGTCGCCCCGCCGCGGCCACGCGCGATCCCGCTGCTCAGCCCGCATCGCTGCCACCGCGATCGAGTCCAAATTTTTGCGACTCCCAATTCCGTCGGCATCAGTGCGCCAGCTTCGCAAAGGCCCAGAGCATCCACAATCGCCACAGGCCCTGATCGCATGCTGGCTCCGATCGCGGCACGGACATGGATCGCGTCCGCGGTTAGAGTGGGCGCGATGGCCGGAAACGTGGCGCATAGCTGTGCCGCGACGCCCTGCGATCTGATCGTCAACAGCAGCGAGTCCTGGGGACCCTGTGCCGGGCATCAGAAATCCCCCACCACCCATTGCGGCGCCCGACAGCAGTCCCCAGTCCAGGAATCCGCGACGGCTCTCGCCGGTGCCAGCAGCGAAAAGATCATGGCCAGCCTCCGGGCGCGTCGGACGGGAGGGCTTTGTCCTTTGCCACCTTTTGCCGTTCTGGCGTGTCGGGTCACCTTTGGCGTCCGCCATCCGCACCGGGTCACGCCAACCCGGTGGGCGCCGCGATCTTCGCGCAATGCGACCGGCCGCCTCCTTCGTTACGCAGCGAGGGGAAGCACCCGGGAGTGAGCGACGCGCGCCCTCTGCGGGGCCCCTTGTGAGTTCCGGGACAGAAGGCCTTGTGGGTGTGGGTCTGGGGAGCCTCCGGGAGGCGCATTGTGGACGCTCCGGGCATGAAGAGCCAAAAGCGTTTTTTTGTCCTTTGAATGAATGAATGAATGAAGAATCATCACAGGCGACGTGAACAATCGGCGCAGCGCTCATGTCACGTGCCTCTGCTGAATTCAGATGGGCAAACAGCGCCCCTCCGCTGGCGCTTTGCTTTCCATTCTTCACCGGTTAAGGGGGAAAGCGAAGATCGTGGCTGCAGTCAGCCGGCGCTCCGGCAGAACAACTCAGGATTGGAATCACGTGAGGAATGGGCGAAATGCAGCCAGCGTACAGCGCGTCGTTTGCTTGTGTTTGTATCGCTTTTGTTACAAACTTCCTGGCGCCTTTCTTTATGTGCTGCTCTTTGGGGAATTGCGGGGAGCTGACGGCTGCTTCACGAACTATGATAAAGACCAGCTCTTTCCTTTCTTTGTACAAATTTACTTATTCTCTTCCTTTCTTTATTTATTGCTGCAAAGAACGGCGGTGTATTCTGGCCGTCGTCCCCGGAGACAGCGCAGTAAAGTCGCCCTCAGACGGGCAGCTGAGACATGTCGTCAGCCTCAGCACCACTGCAGTTGAGGGTGCACTCAACGAACAAGTGTTCGAGTGCCATGATGTTACAAACAGCTGACAAGCGCCGCCAGGAGGGTGTCTACGCTTTGGAACAGCAATATGACTCACCGATCAGCCATATGCGCTCAATGGGAGTCACCAAAAGCACAGCCACTATCACAGCCCTGTCAATCGCCCAGGATTTCTGAGCGTTCCGCTCCTGCACTTTGTCCAACTTATCTCA